TTTTTCCCCCAAATGTGACTCAGATATTTTGGGTACAAATTGTCACTCAAAAAACACAAGCCAACGTCATTATTGGCGACGTTTCCTCCCTCTTGGACACTTGCCAAGACGGAAATGAATGTTGCCATCCGATACGTGGTTTTCTTTCTCTTTGCAATGGAAAAAGGCGTTGGAAGTGCGTTTGACCCGAGTCAGATGCAAAATGGCGGGGAAAGCACAATGGACAAGGCTTCGGGGCATTCTATTTTGGGTCGGAAGAGCGTCAGTTTGAAGCTGATTGCCGGCTAGATTCCCTACAATTTTCCGCTTGGTGTGAACTATACTAAAAGAAGAAGGATCTTAAGAGTGTCCAGAATGAACAGGACTGCCGAAAAAAGATGAAGAAAATGAACAATATTTTCTAAAAAAAAATCAAGTTTATTTGATCATTCTGCTTAATGAGCTAGTATTTTCAATTATGCGTATATTCATAGAATGGAAAATATTTCAAGCTCAACTTTTCTTGGGAAGAAGTTTTTCAAGAACAAGCTAGATTGTTTTAAAAGAATGAGATATCGATTCTTATACTCGAACTTGAAAGTTTCGAGTTTTTCTCAGAAAAAAAAACAGCTGCATTGTGAAAAATCCCCTTTAAAAGCATTGAATGAGTAATAGAACAAAAACAAGAAAATAAAAAGCCTTAAAAATAAGTCAAACTTTCACCTGAAAAATTTCTGCTCAAACAAGTAATTCAAATCATGTTCTTCAAAACGATAAAGAAATAACGAAATTTTCAAAAATACGAAAAACTTGAGGTCACGGTTTTTCTTGTGTCTAAAGTTTCCTGTGTTTTGAAGCATAAGTTCGTTTAATCACTTGGTGCGCTGAGTTGAATTTTTGACTAGAAAGTACAAGCTGATTTCATTTTTTTGAGAGTTTAGAACTTTTTGCACTTCGTTTCTGTCACTCCCAGCCTTTTCTCTTGTTGAACCTGATTTTATTTTTTGCGCCTCTGATATTTCATTTAGCACTGGAGCTTATTTGAACAGTGGATTAAATGGCCCCCGAAGATATAGCCGTGGTTTGCAACGGCGGCAATATAGACGCGTGCACTGGTTACTACAAAGCCCAATGAACGTTGTGTCCAGCTGCTCCCTCCCCTTTCCGTTCTGTTGCCGCGATCTTTTCCTCATCTCTCTCAACATTAGACGTCCTGCTTGTCGCATATCTTATACATTAACTCATCTCAGTGATATATCATCCTCAACTTCGGAATCGAGAAAAATCAACCTATTTCTTGAATAAAAAAAACATACGTTTCAACCATTTTCGTTGTTCTGTCCTTCCAGCTGACTCGGAGGGAGGAATTCGTCAGCGAGCCACGTATAAATATCCTCTCTTCAAGCTGCAATCGATCCAGCATGGAAGACAATAGAGAATTATAAAGCGTTTTCCATTGAAGTTCGTTGAAGCGTTCGAGATAGAAGCATAGGACAGTTCAAGAAAATTTCGGTCTTTTTCAGCAAAAATTTCTGGGCTTTTTTTTTTGAGAAAGGACTGATTAAATAAAAATTGAAAATACAGTTTGAAAAATTGAAAAAAAGATAAGAAATAAAAAATTTTTCCCGCATGAGCTTTTGCGCGACAGTGTACTCACGTTAGACATATGATTTAACGCAAAAACGTTAGCGCGTCGAATTAATTTTATTTCAATTTTTTTGAGTTCTCCTTAATTTTTTTTAAATTCGATTGGAGAATGTTCATGATCGTTTTATTACAAGGTCAAAAAGTTCCGATATTTCCATAGTGGCACGTAAATTCCTGTTCGCCTCGGACGTTTTCGTCCTGCAATTTTGAATTTTGAAATATTTTCCACCTCAGGCGTGCAATTTTTCATTTCAATGATATTTTCGAAAAATTTTTTTTCGAAGAAGTGTCGTGTTAGAATGTGCGTTTTTTGCGTTTCAAATTTCACATCACATTGTGCGTTTTGGTGCTTTATGCAGACGAGCTGCCACGACTTTCGTTTTCGCGCCAAAATTGATAAGCCATTTTTTGGACTCCTTGGTCGTTGCTACTGGATTTTTGAAATTATTTCACTGAATTTCAGCAACTTCTGGAAAGCTTCATTGAGTCTTTTCCCCGTTTTCGAAATTGAGAAAATTGTCGAATTAAAAGTTTTTACTTTTTTCTTAGATTGTTTTAATTTTCCATTCAAATCAGCTTCTTTTTTGAATTCTCTCAATTCAATTTTTTCCCTCCCACTAAAAAGTTCGAACAAATCGTGACTTTAAATTGATCGGTCAATCTAAGCTCACATGGGCTTATAAATTTGTCTTGCAGTATTGTATCGTTTGTCAATAAAATTTTTTTACGTTTTTAAAATCAAAATAATTTTTGAGTAGTTCTAAGAAAACCGACATGAAACTGTCAGAATTTCGGTGCGAAAAGGTTCATTCAGTATTTATTTATCCTCGGTCTTCATTTTTTTCTTCAAGTGGTTAAACATCCCAGTCAGCTGCTGGTAGATGGACTGAGGATTTCAAAATAATTTTTCAGAAGTATACGAAGACGTTTCAATAAAGATATTAAAGAATTTCATTGCGCGGTTACTTAGTTTCAATCTTTGAAAGTTTTGGTTCATGTTAATTAAATTAAGTCACCGTGAGATTTCATTTTTATTCAATATTTAGGCCTTTTTCGAACTTATTCTCTACCCGAAATTTTGATTCCAAGTCAGAGGCACGGAGTGTTTGAGTTGTAGCACAGATTTGGCGGTGCTTGCCTTGTCCCAAATCTGGCGCCAATTTGAGTGTTTGACCTGGCGGACCCTCTAGGGCTCTTTCTCAATCAGTTGTTTGCGTGTGAACTTCTCGACCCTTCCTCCAAAACGGCCTTTTCGAGGAGATTTCTTTGCTTTGGCACAAAAACACACTGGGCTTTTCTTGGCTTCTTTTCAACTGTTTCTGCGCTCCAGATTATCATTTCTCTCTGTTCGGAAGCCCTTTTACAAAGTAGCAAACGATTAACACTTCTGAATGACTTAATTTTGTTTTTTCGTATGTTTTCATTGATTCGTTTCGTTCGACTATCATGAAAGCCCGTGTTTTTTTTTCTCAATATTTGACAAATTTTTGTAAGAGGAAGTCATTTTTTATCGCTGTTCAAAGCTCTTTTTTTCTTTCTTTTTGGTTTCTTCAGGGAGTTTGTCGTTCGAATTCATCAGAAGGAGTTTCTAAAAAGTTTTTTCTTTGTCTGTAATAAAATTATTCTAACTTTTAACAATGATGGCCGATAAAAATTTACACAATAATTTTTTTAAAATGTTTTTTGCTGCATATTTGAGCTTCCGCAGTCACTAAAAAGTTACTCTGGTTCTACATGTTCTCAGAAAAGCTTTCAGTTTATTTTCCATGCGCTGATTTCTTTGCGAAAATCTCTAATGACTCTTTGTACGCGTCTTCGTACATCCCATCGGTTCCGGAAAAAACAACCGGGCGGGCATTTGGCCAACTGACCTTCCCGCTCTTTTTATTTTCTTTCCGATGCGAAAAATATTGACAGCCGAGCAGGAGACACCAAAACTCAGTTTTTATGGTCTTTTCATCGATCTGAATTTTCTCAGCTTTTCCCAACTTTTGAACTAAAAATTAGTCGAGAAGTTCATAAATATGAAAGAATAGAAATTTCTTCTTCGTTCCTCGTTATGATCAAAAGTTATATGTGTCACACTTTAAAAAAAACTTGGCTTTTTATTTTGAAAGATCTGGGAGATTCCCCATGTTTGCACGTAACATATCATGTTTCTTCAGAAGCTGCAAAACATAAGTTCAAAAAAATGTTCCGATGATCACTTGGACCTTTTTTGATCGATAGTTTATGACCATATTTGTAATTTTTCCCGTGGAATTACGATATTTTAGGCGTATTATTCTTGCTACATATTTTCCTAAAAGAAATTTATTATCCTTGAAAGTTCGAACTCCTTTTTTCATCCTTCTTCTTCTTCTTCTTCTTCTTCTCACCTTTCGCTCCATCGGACCTCAATCCACCGCGTTAATCTTTCGTACCAATATTTGATTCAAAACTCAGACAGTCTGTTTTTTATTCACTGTTTTCAGCTTTATCTTTTTTTTCCTGATTGTAGGGGAAAAAATCTCGTTCCGGATTTCACGGTTTTTTTTTTCTTTGACAAAATCTGGACAACTCCTGTATTGCTTTCAGTTCTTCGTTCCAAATGTCTGAAAATTTTAAAATAAGAAAATAAAGTTTAAAATAATCTTGATCTCAGACATGTTGACTGCATCTAAAGCTCCAAATATGGAAACACTTTTTTTTTTCTAAAATCTCAACTTTTAAAAACTTTCCAACCAAAAAGAAACGTCATGAAAAGGGGCAAGAAAGCCTTTGAAAACTTCTTTTGAACTTTTTTCTCATGGAAATCTCCATATTTTCTTTGTAAGCAATCACAGGCTCACCCCACCTTCTGAACTCTAGTTGCGTATGATCGAAATACGAGTTATTCTTGTCTATCCTCAAAAAAAAAAGTTTAGACGACGATTTCACGACATTCCGTAGCGACTTCGATCGTCATAAAATTGTACAGATGACGAGTTTCCGTGCACTTTTTCTGGGAGTCCCACGCGCTCCAACCGGCGTCGAAATGCCAACTTTCCCACCGGGATCCGTTTCGCGTCATTGGTTCCTCGGTGAACTCTTTCTTGGAATTCCTCCCCCCAAATCAAAAGCTCTTCGATTTATTGCACTGAAACTAGCAAAATTCGACTCTTCCTTTGGAACAAAGCGTTTTTTATTCGCCAGGGCAACGGACGCGTCGTCGTTTGGAATGGATCCATTCGCCACTGAAATAATTGTTTTCTTCACAAAATGCCATTGTTTCTTGCATTTTTAAAGTTATTTTGTTTTCGTTCGATTGATCATTTGCCCACGCCAACCTTTTGATTGATTCATGGTTTTTTTTGCAGGTACTTTATGATTTGAATGCTTGTTTGAGCGGAAACATGGAAAATTCAGCGTTTTTGGAGAAAGAAAAATTGCTCCATTCTGATGAGCCGACGTCATCAAATGATCCCTCGGCCATTATTGGCGGAGATCTTCGGAGAGTCTCTTCGTCAAGATTTCAGGTGAGGATTCGGGCAGTTTTAACAATTCGTTCCTCTTTTTTTTGTTTGTATGATTATTTCTTTCACTTTCATTATATGCACTACAATTTCAAAACTTTTTTTCAAATAGCCCTTGATAGCGTTCGAAAAAATCCATTTCCACTAAGAATCTGCTCTCAAATTTCACCTACGTAACAAATATATAAACAAAAACTGAGAAGTTTCAAGCAAACAAAACAAATTTCGTTATTATTGAAGTTTTTGGCCTTTTCTTGCTTTTTTTCAACAAACATTCGTATTTTTTTGAATTTACAGCTTCTCAGAATTTTCAGCGAAATATAATACAACTCTCTAGAGATGTTTTTTTTTTGAAGGGAAGGCTTATTGTTTTGCCGGCGTCTTTTTCGCTGCCAACTTTCGAGTCTACCCTAGCAGAAAACTTCAAATATCCGTTTTATTCCCGTATTTTCATGGGAAATTATTCCAACCGTTCAAAAGAGAAGAATTTTTTGTTTTTGTTGCTATTTTTGGTTTTTGTCGTTTTACGTTTTATTTTGTTTCGACGCGTTCCATCGTTTTGCTTTTGCCAAAAGTTTGGACAAGGACATTTTTTGTTAGCTCCTTTTAAAACCGTTTTTCGAAAGTTTTACGTTTAAAAACCCGATCAGGACTACTTTTTTTAAATCTTAACACTTTTCAAATAAAAAAAGTTTCAAATTTATATTATAATTTTGAACCTTTTTTTTCTACTTTAATCTTAGCTTTCTGTACTTCATTTTTCTACTTTGTGGCCTTTTTAATATCTCAATAGTCAAAAAAATGAAGGTTTCTGGAAAATTCAAAAAAATAACTTTCGGAGATAATATCGACCGTCGCCTAAAATGGACTGTTCATGTACATTCAGTTTGCTTTTTCTGATCTTACTATTTGTTCAGTTTCCACACTAATAGCATTTTTTTCAAACTCGTTTCGGTTCGCCAAACTTTTATCGAGTTTTACCTGCTTATTCTGCTGTTTGAATTCTTCTATCCGCAGCTTCCCACAATATATATTTTTCTGATACATTTTTAATGACTGCTTTTTGTAGAACCGTTTTTTTCATTGCGACTATAGAAGTCCGAGCTCCAGATGATTGAGTATATCTAAAATTTCTCTCTCGACTTGAATTTAATTCCTACACGGGCAGACCATTTTTAAGGCTAAATCAAAGTCTTTACTACATTCTAACTTTACTTTGTCTTTATTACTTCCCTGAAGTTAAAATTAATTTTTTTAAACTTCATTCAAAAAATAAATATGTAAGTCAGCCCCTCCTTCCGGAATAATAGAGTTATTCAGTTGCCGATGTCATACGTGGGCCAACACACCTGGCGCACCCTCACAATCCATTTTAAAATACAATTTTCAAAATTTTTTTCAATTTCGATCATTTACAGACCGTTTGAAAAAAATTAGAAAAATTTTTTCCTATCAAGGAAAAAAATTGTTCTTATTTTTTTGCTTTACACCTAAATTTCCTGAAATTTTAAATGAAAAAAGGCGCTTTTTCCGATTTCAAGGCTTCAATCGTAGCTAAAGAAATAAAAGCGGTCAAGGTTTGGTCCATGTATTTCATGTTCCTTGATAACTTCTTCAAAGACTTGAATCTTCAGGTCTCGCGATTCCCAGAAGAAGAATCGAATCCGACGCCTTCTGTCCATTCAGAAGAGCCGCTGTCGAGGTGTAAGAGCAGCAGCGAGCCGCCGGTGTTCCTGTCCCATTCGGGCAGCGCTCCTGTTGTTCAGAGAAAAATGAGCGCCACCGGCAGATTTATGGCAAGTTTTCAAGTCTAGTTTTGAAGAAAACGCGTAAACCTAACTGATTTCGATGAGAAAGCGGCAAAAAAAAAATTTAAATCTTTGAAAAGTCTTGAATTTTTCAAGTTATCAGGTTTATAATGAGTTTAGGTTTGAATATCAAAACGATAAGGGGAGATTCTTTTGTTTTTTTGTTTTTCGTTTTTTTTTAACAAAAGAAGGATTTTAATTATTAGACCGACCAATGAATAGTTGAAGTCAGACATCATTCAATATTGAGAAATATGTGCTCCTCACTCAAAAAAAAGGTTCGTTATTAAGGAAAAAAAAAGAATATGGTAATTTTAAGAAATTTTAAAGAAAAAAAAACATAATTTTGAGAAAGAAATTTCTTAGAAAACGCTATGCTATCCTCCTTTGACAGAGTTTTTCCTCTCGAGCTTTTTCATCTTTATTGAAAAAAATATTCCGCCAATTCCTGCTTAGAAATCGAATATATACGTTTAGCAAGTACATTGTGAGAAATTTAATAGAAAATCTCGTGACACGGCGCTAGAATTCCTTCTTTCCCCCAAAAAAAAGCTTGCAGGTGGTCTCAGAAACGGCGAGCACGGCTTTGACGCAGAACAACTCGCAGACGGGTCTGGACGGCGAGCCGCGATTGGAAACGGCGCGAAGCGTCGACGTGACATCTTCAGAAGCCGTCGTGCCGACGACGGGCGTCGAACCTCCTCTCGCAGAGGCTCCAGAAGACCTCGAAGACAGCGTCACGGCTCCTTTGAACAGATCTCGCGGGGTTCGTATCGTCTGTGCTTTACAGAGACTTTGAAAAAAAAAACTTGTTTAGAGATCGGGAATTAATTTTTCAGTCATTGTATGGTAATGTTTATGGTAGATTTCAAAAAAAAAATTTATTTTTGGCGAATAATCATTCATTTTGTATTAATGGGTATGGTTGTTAGTAGATTTTGAAATTACCCTGCGAAAAGTGAACTTTTAAAAAGATAAGCGGCGTAAAAAACTATTATAGTTTGGTAAATTTCGAAGAGTTCTTTTTTTTTTGGAATTTAAGAATTCAGACTAGATATGTTTCAGTTTTCCCTGAAGACGAATGAAAGTTTCTTGTCAGAAATCAACTTTCATAAAAGAGCAAATATAAGTTTTCTTTTTGACAAAGCTGAAGGGGCATCATGGAGAAATAGTTAAGGTAAATATTTCCAGCCCTTTTGTTTTTCTTCATCTTCGAGAGCTACAAACTTCTGTGCACCTCCAAAATGATAGCTCGTTAGCCTTTCTGGGAAATTCTCAGTATTTTTTGTGCTTTCAGTCCGTCTCCTAGTTAATTTCCGGCTGTTCTCCTTTAATCGAATCAAAAAGAGAGTAGAAAGAGTTCGAATTGAGTTACTTTTCCTTTCAAGAGTTCAAACTTCAGAGTTTTTTTTTACTTGAGTTTCACCTGCTCCGGCTGCAGAAAAAGCGTTTTCTAATCACATGATTCTCTTTTTTTCCTAATAAGAAAGCAGTTTTCTAATTTGTAGTAATTGTCACGAGCAATTATGATTTTGTGAGAGGCAGTAACTTTTTAAGTCTTATTTCGTAATTGTTCTCCAGAATTTTGCATTTCCTCACTGCATAAAAGATTAGCGTAACTTTCATGAAAAGTAGGAAAAAAAAATTTTATTAAGGGATAATCAAGATTTGGTTATAAGTTGCGACTTTAGCATGCTTTCCAGTTTTTGCTGTCAATTCATTTCCTCTATTTTTTGGTTTCTTTTTTTGGCTTGAAAAGCGCAAATGTTTCGCATCTGCTCTGTAAAAACCAGCCGGAGAGTTTTTTTTTAAATAGAAACGAGTCCTTATTTATTTTTATGAAATTGCTCTTTGATGTCGTTTCAATTTCTTCATACGGAAAAACTTTGATTTCGTTTTATGAGTTTTTCTTTGAATTTTTAGATAAGTGCAAGGGTATGAAGATTTTTTGAAGCCCTGCAATGAGCTTAGGAAGTTTTGAAAATCATTAAAAAGCTTTTCTATGCGATTCCTTCATCATATCTTGCATTTTTTCTCTTTCACCTACCTGAGCAACTTTTTTTTTCCAGTTTGTTCATTTCAGGTCCATTTCTCTGTTGGAGACCGCGAAGCCTTTGACGCATCGATGAATGGGCAAACCGCCAAACGGGAGTACTCTCAAGAAAATAATGCCACCCTCAACATGAAAAGTTGGAGGTCTGATTTATTCCATACTGAATTCGCGCGAACTTTTCACTTTAAAAAAAAGTAGAAAAAACTAAAGTATACAGAGCTTTTTTTGTGCTTCGCTTCAAGACCTGCACGTTTTTAAACCTTTGCTTTAAGGTCTTTAAGTTCCCACGCCTTAGTTTATATCAATTCAAACTATTCATATTCGAAAAATCCAGAAATATGCGGACGATCGAGCACCCGCCCATCATCGACTTCTACCGTAACTCGGTCGACACAGACGCAATCGTCGTGAGACCTTCGATGGCCCAACTCATTCACGGCGACTCGGCCATGATTCCCGAAGAGGAGATCAACTTTGATGATCTCGATGTTCGTTTGGAGTTTTAACAAAGTTAAAAAGAAATAATTTTTCTCTTTTCATTCTGGAGTTCAAGTAAATTTACCGACCGAATTTTTTTTCTAGCGTCCTTGTGCTTCTCGAGAGGAGAAATTCAAAAGGTTTAATTTATAAAAAAAGAAGAAAAATTTTTTTGATATTTAGAGCCTTTCCACTAAAAAAAAAATTCGAAAATTTCTTTTGATAAGTTTTTAGTAACAAATGGATAATGAGTCTATTTATGCAGCCCTAGCACTTCACCTCAAAAGTTTATATCGAAACAAACTTTAAAAAACACTCTAAATAGTTCCGGTACAAAATAATTTCAGATCAAAACGTAATTAACGTTTCAATGGAACTTTTTAGCCGAGTTCTTGTTTTTGATTATATTCATGTGTTTGTCTAGTGGAATGATATCATGAGGCCGACAATTTAGTTTGAAAACAGAAACACCTGCTTACTTACTCACGTAATTTTTTTTGGGAGAAGGACATAAAATGATATTACTTAAGTTTGGAGGAGAAAAATAGGCTTGGAAGTTTAAGCTCAAAAAAAGAAAAATAATTTTCAAAAATATTCGGCTTCAAGGAATTGAAAAGTTGTGTAAAGATCAGCTTCAAGGATCCCTGAGAAAATCGAATTCATATTTTTATCGAAATCATGCGAAGTTGACAGTTAATTTTTGGTTTCGTTTTTGAGATTTATTTTTAAAAGACGCTCTTAATTAGTTTGAAAAAAAAATTTGATTTAATTTTTTTTAATATTCGAAGTGAGTGACTTTCTATATCACTCGGATCACCGGAGATTACATTTTTGAACTGAAATTTGCTGTATTTTCGAAGTTTATTTTTCTACTTCTCAAAAACTCTACTTTTTAGCCATACGGTTTATCACACTGAATATATTTTTTCTGCTTTTTTTACTTGCAATTATATTAAACCGCTTCGATCCCTCCTCTAAAGTCACTGGAACCTTTTCCAGTTCCACAATCACGAGCTGGCCAACGTGCAGATAATCAAAGGAGTCATTGGCGACGGCGCAAGTGAAGATGAACGGAAAACGCCGCGAGTTGAGAAGTTTGCGCCCCCACAGCCGCAGGTAGTCATGATAATATTATTGATAATTTGTTGAATAATTTCTTCAGCAGGCACGGGTTAAGTTTGGATGGGTACAGGGCGTTTTCGTCCGGTGTATCTTGAACATTTTTTTGGCGTGATGCTCTATCTTCGGCTCAGTTGGGTCGCTGGACAGGCTGGAATCGGTTTTTTTTTTTGGACTTGTTCAATTAGAGAAAAAATTCTTTTTTTAATGAATAAATTGAAATTTAAATCATTAAGTTTTTGCCCACGAAACTTTAAAAAAAAGTCTGTAGGATAGTATATTTTCTGTTATTTTTCTCTTCTGAAGATATCACAGCACAATTTCCAGGAGCGTAGGGAGCATGGAGTTAAAAAATAAGCTTCAAATTTGGAGGGAATTTGTTAAAAAGCACTATATATAAATTTGGCCACCTATCGAAAAACTAGAAATCATACCTTTTCCAGGACTCGGGTGCATGATTGTCTTGTTGGCCTCGGTGGTCACCACCGTCACGGCCTTGTCGACTTGCGCCATTTGCACGAATGGTGACGTCAAAGGGGGCGGGGCCTACTTCTTGGTAATCATTCTCATCGTTCCAAATTGATCAGTTAACTACAGATCTCCCGATCTCTGGGACCTGAATTCGGCGGCTCAATAGGCATCATTTTCTCGGTGGCGAATGCTGTCGGAGCGGCGATGTACGTCGTCGGATTCGCAGAAACTGTCCGAGATGTCCTTCTGGAGTACGGCTTCACGATCATCGACGGCGCCGAGTGGGACGTCCGAATCATTGGCTTTGGTCCGTTTTTTTTTTTCAAACGGTTTTAGATTTTCTGAAAAGAAGAAGTCGTCAAAATCTTGACTCAACGGAAATTCAAACTCTCGGAATCTTGTCAATGATTTCTAGCGCTTTAATGAACATTGCAGTTTATGAAACAGTTTGAATTTTTTTAATTTAAAATTAGTTTCTCAATAATTTTCCATAAAAAGATTTTTTTAAAAAAATTCAAAAAAATCAGGTTTTTTTACGTTTTTCCGTGTTCCATGAAGCCGTTTTTGGGTTTTTTTGTAAAAAAATAAATCCCTTTATATAAATACTTTTTTTCGGCTTTTTTTTCTCTTCCCAATGAATATGACTTTGCTATTGAAAACTTTTTTACGATCAAAAATTTCTGATTCAAGTGTTGTTCTGCAAATCTCTTCCGTGCAACCCTGAACCGTAAGCTTAGACTTGATCAAAGCTGTTTTCACTTCATTTTTTGAACGACCCTCTTTAATTTTCAGCAACGGCCCTGGTGTTGATGGCGGTGGTGTTCATCGGGACGGAGTTCGAGTCAAAGATGCAGATGGGACTTCTCTGCATTCTGCTGCTTTCCATCGCCAACTACGTCGTCGGCTCTTTCCTGCCGCCCAACGAGATGATGATGCGACGAGGCGTCACCGGATACAGCTGTTGGTTCTCCCGTCTTCGCCCATCTCCAGTTTCCATGACGTCCTCTTTTTCAGGGAGTACCGCCACTGAGAACTTCTTCCCGGCTTTCCGCGACGGCGAGGACTTCTTCTCCGTCTTCGCCGTCTACTTCCCGGCGGCGACCGGAATCATGGCTGGCGCGAACATCAGTGGCGATTTGGCTGATCCACAGGTATCCGGTTCTTGTAGTCCAATCGAAGTATCTTTGATTGCTTATAGTGATCATGAAATTTGGAAAAGGTAGGAATATATCTGCTGTGTAGTTAGTTTAGAAAGGTCTTCTGAGAAGTTCAAAGTATACTGTGAAATACTTTGTCGTTACGTGAACTGTGCTCTTTATTCTCTAAATTCAGAAATAAGTTGAAAAAAATAGGGATAAAAATTAATTCAGCGGGCAATACCTATCGGAACCCTTCTTGCTATAGTGGTGACGACTATCGTTTACCTGGTAACCGTTTTGATGACTGGCAGCACCTGTGTTCGGTATTATTCTTGTCCTGAAACCGAGAAAAGATCGAAAATGTTCAGCGACGCCGACGGAGTCAGTTATCCTATCTTCAACCTGACTTCCTATGTGCCGCCGGATTGCGTGGACTCCGAAGAAGGATGCAAGTACGGTCTCATGAACTACTTCCAGGTCTTTTTGTTGTTTTCCTCATGAAAAGCCGGATTGTACAGGTAATGGAAATGGAATCACTCTGGGGACCACTTATCACGGCTGGCATTTTTGCGGCGACTTTAAGCTCCGCCCTCGCCAGTCTTGTCAGCGCGCCGAAAGTTTTTCAGGTGGGAGAGAAGTTCTGAAAGAGAAAAAGAAAGAAAAAACAAGGAAAAATATTCTTTCCATTTTTTATCTATTTTTGCCATTTTTCAGGCCGTATGCAAGGACCGACTCTTCCCGGGAACGTCTTACTTCGCCAAGGTCTATGGAAAGAACGAAGAGCCCAGGAGAGCCTACCTCCTGGGGTTTGTCATCGCCTTTTCGATGATTGCCATTGGTTGGGCAAGAAATAATGATCGGAATGATGTTCTTGGACAGGGGACCTGAACGCGATCGCCCCGATCATCTCCAACTTCTTCCTAGCCTCTTACACTCTCATCAACTACGCTTGCTTCGACCAGTCGTTCGCCGACTCGCCTGGTTCTTTTTCAATTGTTTTTCTCGCCGATGAAAGGCATTGCAGTGTCGTTCAAAAGTCTCACAGCTTAAAAAGAATAGGTGAAACTGGAAACCTTAAAATATCATTTTTTTTTTTTTCATGCAACAGATAATTTTCTGCTTGATTTGATTTTTGAAATGAGGCTGTTAATAAAATTTCAAATTTTGAGAATGAACTTTAACAAAACTTTTTGAAATATGGAGAAACCAAATTTAACTTAATCTCTTTTTTTTCTCATTTATACAACAAGAAAAATTATTTGATACTTATTGACTTTTTGAAAATTCTTCTTATCTCTTTAAATACTACCAATATTAGGAACGATCTATTTTTCCAGTTTTGAACTTGCTTGTTACGATTCCGAGGAAAAATTTGATAAATTTCGTTGCTACTTATAATCCAGCTGAATCCATTCATGTTGACATCGCCTTTTTTTCAGTTTTGACTTGAAACAGCCCATTTTTTCGGCTTCAAGAACTTGTAGGGATTTTCGAACCTCAGGTTTCCGCCCCGGATTCAAATACTACAACATGTGGGTCTCGCTGGCTGGGTCCATCCTCTGTATCGTCGTCATGTTCGTCATGAGCTGGTCCACGGCTCTGATCACGTTTTTCTGCTTCGGAGCTCTTTTCATGTACATCTTCCATAGGAAACCTGGTTTGAATTCTCCTGATAGAATTGCCAAGAAAGACCTGAGTTTCAGACGTCAATTGGGGCTCTTCCACACAGGCACATAGTTATAAGAACGCCCTATCTGGAATGATCAAGCTGTCCAACACCGAAGAGCACGTCAAGAATTATAGGTTTAATTGAGACGTTTTGATGAAGGAAGATAAGATCCTTTCAGGCCACAATTTCTGGTTCTGACTGGAAATCCGACCGCCCGATCTGCCTTGGTCGACTTTGCTTATAATATTTGTAAAGGAACCTCGATGATGGTCTGCGGATATGTAGTTCCGGTGTGTTTTTGTGTCAACAATCTTTTTTAATTAGAATAAGGAATTTAAGAATTTTTGGTACATCGATGAGTATTCTGGCCAATTTTCAGGAAACTCCTAACCAAAAAAGGAAAAGGACCTACCTTTTCAGCGCTTTTTTTTTGTCAAAACTTTCAAATTTCAATATTAATTCATTCTATGATTCTTTCATATTATTTGGCATCGTGTGAGTTTTCAGTACGAGCCGTCGGATCGGATATTCTCGCTTTGCCGTCGATTCGAACGTCAGTGCAACGAGTGGCTTCGGAAACGCCGAGTCAAGGCTTTTTATACTTCGGTGGCTTGTCCCAGTTTACGAGCCGGCACTAGAGGTTTATTGCAGGTGGACCTAAACCTGAAAAACGATTATTCCATGATTTTTCTTCCAGTTGAGCGGACTTGGAAAGCTGAGGCCGAACATTGTTTTGATGGGGTTCAAGTCGAATTGGTGTCGGACCGACGGAGAAGGGAATTCGCCCAGCGAGACGCAGTTGGCTGAGATCAACGATTACTTCGGGACCATACAGTTGCGACCTCGAGCATTTCGTAATCCTTAGGAACGCCAGAGTAGTCCCTGTAGGGAAACCCTTACAGACCCTTGAAGGTTCTACTCTAGGGACCTTTTTAGCTCCCCTTATAAGGGCTTCTATAGGGCAACTTCATAGGGAGCACTATTCCGTCTCCATAACGAGCTTTTTTTCCCTAACTGCTATAGGGAACACTCAAACTACACTAGTTATGGAAAAAAAAACCCTTACTTGAGCCTTTGAAGCTTCATAACTCAAAAATGATCTATTGGGAGATATTTTTCCTTGTCGGATCAGAAGAGACTTTAGGTTCTTCTCAGCCAAGCTACATTAAAGGTTCAACCTGAATATGAAATAAATTTTCCTATAAAGCACCATAATTGAAGCGATTACGGTCAAATAGCAGTTCCCATAAATTTCTAAATTTTCCAGAGACGCTTTCGACTGCAACATGGGCGTTTGCGTTCTGCGAAATTCGAGGAGCGGCTTGGACTTTAGCGAATTGATGCAACAACTCAATGTCGACACCAATAATCTGTTCCCGTCGGTCAATAGATCAGGAGGAGCGAGTTCTGGGTTGGAGATAAGAAGTAGATTCAGTTCTGACTCTAAAATCAACAGAAGTAGCACGTTCCGGTCGGTGAAGACCAACGAGGAGGACGGGAACAACAACGAGGAGCTGGAGAAGCTCAAGGAGGCCAAGGAGGGCGAAGAGAAAGATCATCAGGACGTCGAGGAAGACATGTGTTCGTGGCTCTTTTTAGTTTAAAAAAAATGAGGCGGAAAAATGGAGTTAACAAAGGCTTTGAAATAGGATAATGGAGCTGGAAAGGAAGAACATACATTTATTTAAAAAAATTACAACGTTTTTTTGAAAAATAAGGCCTCGAAATCGTTAGGTAAACATTTTTTTGGCGCTTTAGAAAAAAAGCTGACTTTGTTTTTTTGAGAAAAAAATAGAATTATGTGAAAAGTCAGAGGATTTCAGAAAAGAAAAAGCCCAAAAAACGTGAATTCTTCATAAAAAATTTTACGCGTGAGCTTTTTAGATGTGCGAATTAGGAAATAAGTTATTATCTGTAAATTTTTGTTTTTCCGAAGACGTGAGCTTGGTTATGAAGAAAGTTACAGCAACTTTCAAAATTGTGTAGAAGCTTTCTATTGGGAAAAGTTTCACGGTTCTCTGATTCTCAGCTTTTTGGTCCAAAAGTTTAACAAAGCTTTTGGGAATCGAAAAGAAATTTGTCATGCAGTTAACTTAGAGCCGTTCAAGATTTCAAAATCAATAAAAAAAAATTCGAAAAATGATGATTTCAAGTTCAAAGTCGTTCAATTATTTTTGAAACTTTTCCTCCAAATTTCCTTGTTTTCAGCCAACAAATCGCTGCTCGAAGCTTTCATGGGTCTCTATGACGACGACGATGACGTCACGAATGAGGAAGATGAACAGAAGGAAGAGGTTTTTTGAATTTATGCCAAAAAAGAAATATTTTTCGAACATTTTCAGTCTCCCGCCGAAAAAGACGTCGAGAAGAAAGCTGCCGACAACCGCAAAAATCACACTTTTTCACTACGTCGTAGAAAGTTAGTTTCTTCTGATGAATCCGTGATTTTCCATGGAATTTTTGAACTATTAATGTTCCCATGTCAGAATATTCAAGCGATATCGCGCCTCCGAAGAGTCTGAGTCAGTTTTTGTGTGATTATCTCGATGTTGTGATGGTGTAATTTTCCAATTTCTTTTCAATCTTTTCTCTAAATTTTATTCCAAACTATTCGTGATTGTTGAGCTTCTCCTGCTTTTCCAATAAGTCCAGTGGCTTTTCGAAGTTTTTTCAAGCTCTCAAAATTTGTATATGATTTGAGATTTTAGTTCCCGACGTGCGACAGTTGAACAGAAAGCCCTGATCGCATCAATGTCTCGATTTCAGAGAAAAGTTAAAAAGGTTGAAATAAAATAAAAACCATTCTTATATGAATTGCAATTTTAGGGAGTTATCGACGTGTGGTGGCTTTATGATGATGGCGGCTTGACTTTTGTTGATCCCGCATTTGTTGACAATTCCGAAAAAGTTATTTGGAGGTAAAATATATATTTTATTATGAAAATTTTCTAATTTTTTTATAGTTTAAAGACCTCTCTCGAATTTCCTAATAATTTTATAAGGTTTCATTCTAAAAAACAGCTGATTAAAACATTTCGAAAGTTCACGACTATTTTTTTCGGTCATAATTTTTTGCTTCAACTGCTTTATTTTTGGTTTTTTTTTTCGTGAAATAACCCTGTATGAAAGGTATGGAAGGTCCAAAACATAAAATATTCACAAATGATGATTTCTCAAAAGAGATAATTTCTGTAGGGAGCCCGTTTGCGAGTGTTCACCATCTCGATCAGCTCGAGGACGATGGAGCAGGAGCAGCGTGGAATGGCGGCTCTGCTCTCCAAGTTCCGCATCGACTTCAGCGATGTCGCCGTCATCGCGGACCTCGGTCGCAAGCCCAAACCAGAGACGTAGTTTCAACCCGAAATGACAGAAAGTGAAAGATTTTTCCAGCGTCTCCGAGTGGGAAACAGCCATCGCTCCTTTCGTTTGGACTAAGGACGAAGGAAACGGAGTTTGTCCGCCCGGCATGATCACTACGTTTGTTTTTTTTAATCAAAAAAGCAAAGTTTTGATTATAAGTCTATTGGGAATACAAGAAACATTGAGAGAAAAACTTTGAATTCTGTTTTCGAAGATTCTTTGGATCGAAATTTTCGAAATCGCAGATCATTTTTGAACTCCCTATACACCATATCAAAACATGGCGGATTTAATCTTCATCCTCGAAAAAGGGAAAAAATAAGAACTTTTAAAACTTTAGAATTTTTCAATGGAAAAGTAGGGATTTTATGATTTATAACGATTGTGAGAAGACTTTATCTGAACATTTTCGAGATAATCAGTTTATGATTCCAGAAGTGAACTCCTGGCGCAAAAAGAGAAAACGTGGCGACAATTACGAGCCTGCGAACTCCTGAAACATCACTCCAGCCAAGCTGATCTCATTGTGATGTGAGTTGAAAGAAAAAATCTGTGTGAAAAAATAGATATGAACTATCTGAATCTCGTTTTTTTGCACGCTAATGGGTCGTTCATCTAGAAAATAGTTATATTAGAACCCTGTCTCGAGTCGTCAGTGAATGCATTTTTGCTTTGTGGTTCTGATAAATGCGTATGTCAGAAAAAGTTGACAACTAGAAGGAATGAGGCAATTAGCGACATACATAACTGGGTTATAAAATATATTAAAGTTGAATTTTTCCCGCGACCCGGAACTCTATTTTGGCTTGTAAAAGTGTCCGCGCAAGTAGTTTTTTGTCAATTGCGCGAAAAAAGTAAGTGTCCTTTGGAATTCAGTCGGTTTGGTACCTATAAAAAGTTAATTCACGGTTTTTTTTAATGGAAAGCTGCGAAAAGGACACAAAAAATAATAGAGAAAGGATTGTTCTGCAGGACTTTACCGGTACCTCGGAAAGGATTGGTGAGTGCGGCGTTGTACCTTTCTTGGCTCGACATGATGACCCGCGGACTTCCGCCGACTTTGCTCGTCCGTGGAAATCAACAGTCCGTCCTCACCTTCTACTCTTAATCCTGTCGCCTTATCCCCCTTCACTTATTTTGTTATTACTAAATCTTCTTCTTTTAGTTCTGTTTAACTTTCTTTTTTTTCCCCGCCATCTAACCATATTTTGTTGTGTTACCCAAGGTGCCTTCATATTGAAAATTAACCTACGTGATCCATTTATCGGTTTCCTTTCATCTTTCAAATCTTCCTGAAGAGTTTAATGCTTTTTTTGAATTATTTTTTTTCTCGTTTCATTGAATTAATAATTTATTTAATTGTCTCAATAAAGTCGTTCTTTTTCTTGGTCGTTTTCATTGCCTTTTGTTGCTATGCCGAAACTATCTCATATAATCGGCCGATTCTCAATGTGAGAGATTCGAAGAAGTGAAAAAATCTTCGTTGAATCGGAAAAAAGCTCTTTTTGGTTTCAATACACCATTTTATCTAAAAGTATTCATTTAAAAAGGAATATAAAACGGCTATTGAGTGAATTCCACTAAAATAAACAGTTACAGTTGATTTCGCGAAACATTTATATTTTTTAAGATGCCAACATCACCTTTTGAATCGATTGTCATGACTTTGAATTTGAAAAAAAAATTATGTTTGTGAAAATTATTTAGCTTGCTCCGTTTTCCTTTGAAAGTTTTCGATTTTTTGAAAAATCGAAAATAAACGGAGAAATCATAAACGCCTCAAAATTCGACTTCGCCAAAAAGGTTTTTATAAAAGAAAAAGAAAGAAAAAAATATGCTATTAAATTTCAAATAAAGACCAGTTTTTACATAATTTCACTACCTTTTGGTTATTTCTACGTGTATACTGACAAAATGAGAAATTTGTAAGAAAAGTTTGTTATTTTTTAAATTTAGAGCTTAACGTGATGCATGGGAGGCAGAATGTGACACAATCACCACGGGAGAATTCTTATTTTTTGTTCTGAACACGGATTTTCTCAACGCCGGGCTCATGCTGAGGATCATGACCGGTGAGCTGAATTCTTCCCGTTTATAATTTTTTTTTTTCTTTTTTTTCCAACCTCACAATGAAGATGTCGATAAGGAGAAACTGTGCGGGAAAGATAAATCTTCGGAGTTTCGAATCAACTGCGCCGCTTTCAGACGCAAAAAACGCCTTAAACGATAGCTTGTGAGAGTTTTCAGAGAAAAATAATATATATAAACTGACTTGACAAATGCAAAGGAAGATCATGACGGCGCCTGTGACAAAAGCCACGACGCATAGATTCTTTTCGGTTCTTTTCAACCTCTGGGGCATGGAAATCATCCCGCAAATAGTTATAATCGTGGAAGAAACGATGATAATGAAGGTTAATGTGCAGAGGCCGAGCATAAAGGCCGAAAGACTGGCCTGGGATCGAATAATCAGTAAGGTTCTAGAAAAGGGAGGCAAAAACGGTCCCTTGTGAGCAAAAATTGAAGACACAACTCACCCAAGGTATGAAGCGAATATAGAGAACGAATAATCCTCCGAACTGATTATTTAGAAAAGTTGGAGATATCGCAGTGTTGAAAGTTAACAAAAGGGGCACAATAAAGACCACTCCAATGCAATACCAAAATACGTTCATCCAAAGCTGAAAAGAAAAATCTGGGAGATAGGAGCTTGAGAAGCACGAATTTTATGCGATTTTACAGAAGAAATCAGTAGAACCTTTTGATGAACAGTTGGAAGAATGACACAGGTCATACGATTTAGCGATAGAAACCATTGCATGGTGAATTTCGCAGCTCGGAGGTAAGCGCCGAGAAAATACGGAGCCGTGAACCAATATGAAAACGATGAAACGTCGTAGCCGAAGGCTGAAACCAGCGGACGGCACAGTGGGGTGATATAAACCATTGGTCGGAACAGAAAGAGCTCCAGAAGATGATAGGAAATGCTCTGGAATAGATAAAAACGGAGACCTCTTGAGAAAAAAGACGTACAATGGAGGCGTCGAAAGCAAGAAGCCTGAAGAAGGCGTTACTGCTGAAAGGGTTCCCATTGAGAGAGAACATGATGCTCCAAATAATCAGGAAGTTAGCTAGCAGCGTTGGAATCAAATAAGCTGCTTGGATAAAATATTTCAACAGTTCGACAAAAGTATCGTAAGAAGGATCGCAAGGGATATTGGGTGGACGGACTGTGTTCATATACAGAACTATTGAAGGGGCTTTTCTGTTCCTTTTTAAGGATACGAACGAAAAAGAAATGTTCAAAAAAGAGTGCAGTTTAGAAAGCAGGAAACGATTTTCATTCTCAGCTGTTGTTATTGGAAAGAAAAAGAAATGCCATTGAGCTTCGAAATCTAAAACCACCTTGCCGAAGAAAATGTTCTTTGTTTTGATCGCAATTCAAAAAACAAAGTTATGACTCAAGCGTCCAATTTCAAAAGTTTCATTGCAATTGGGTAACACGAGTAGTGAAACTTGGTTTCGCTGACTGAACTGTTACGGGCAATCCGGACTTTTTCTCGAACTTGATGATTTCTTTTCTTAATACTGAACTCATACACAGAATCATCACGGGTGAACTGAAAATACGATATTTTATCGATTAGCTGTGAAAAAATTTTGAGACCTGACGGTGAATATGTCGGTGACGATAAAGCTGATAGCGAATATATATTTCCTTGCAGCTGTTACTAGTGTATTTTGAAAGGCGAAAAAAGCCTGAAAAAAAAACTTTTAATTATTTATTTCATTGACTCATACCTGTACTGCACAAATAAGAATCAAGATTCCACCCGTAACAAAAGCAACAATACAAAGATTTCTTTCTGATGACTTCAGGCCGTTCGAACCATTTTTTAGGCCGAATAAGATCAATCCCGTGGATATTGTTATCACGAAAAACGTGATGCTACATAAAATCAGAGTGAAGTTTGATAAACTAGCCTAAATTGATGGTTTTTCTTGCTTTTTTTTTGAATTGAACGAAGTTCTGCTGATTTTTCATCAATGAAAAGTAAGTAAGTATTGGATTTGCGGGAAGGTCATACTATACTTTAATGGCCCTTTCTCACCAGAAAAGTAAAAAATAGTTTCTCACCCAAGACACAGCTCTAGTGTAGTTTATTGAAAGGCCACCAAACTGATTATTGATATATGTTTTCGAGATCGAAGTGTTCCAAGTCACTGCCAACGGGATCGCGAAAATCACTGCGATACAGAGCCAAAAATAGTTGTCCCAAATCTGTAATTTGCTTTTTTTCGGCTTTCTCTGCAACCCACCTTTTCGTGAAAAGTAGGTAGTACAACACAGGTCATCCGGTTCAACGAGATGAACCATTGAATGACGTATCTCGTAGTTTTTAGGTAATAATAAAGGAAGAATGCAGGCGTGAACCAGTAGGCATCTCTTTTGTATCCAAATGTGGCAACCATTGGCTCGCACAACGGAATAATGTAGATTAGTAGTCGGAAAAAGATTATATCGATCAAAGCGTCTGAAACGCTCTGAAAAATTCTCTCGGTTTCATAAAAGCACTGTTAAACTTACGACAATACAGTCGACCGCGAAAAACTGAAAGAATTTATTTTTCATGAAGTAAGCTCTTTTCTTCGTCGAGTATATTTTTCTTACAATCATAATGTTGATAATGAGTGTCGGGAATAGATAAAAGAATTGCACAAAAAATTTAATCATTTCGATTCCGGTAGAGTACGCAGGATCGCATGGTATTATAGTTGTTGTTTCCATACCAATGCTTCAAAAAAGTTGTGGATTGAACTTTTTTTAAGCATTTTATAAATATAAGGTTCGTTAAGTTCAAAAAAGAAAAATATATGATTTTCACCCGACAGAAAAAGTGTTTGCTCAAGTTTAAAGTTGATTTTCTCCTCTTGAAATTTATTGAATTTTTGGGCCACAGATATGTTCGAATTTCCTGCGATCTCTTAAACTTTTTACCCTGTTGAAATACTGCTGAGAGGTTAAAGCCCTTGGTTAGCTGGGTTTCCTTTTGACATTGAAAAATTGTTTTTAAACTGATAAAAATTAAATATTCTCGGATAAGGGCCAAAAAAGAGATCACAGAAAATAGAACAGAACGGAAACTCAAGAAAGAAGTGATAAAGTTTATGTGAAAGGGAGCACAGAGAGTTCGGAGCACAACATTTACTTATAATAATCACCCAGTCCACCTGCTTATCATCTACAAATTGCTCGACGGAATGACTGGTCTGGGGGGCTCTAGTTCGTTCCGTGTTCTCGCGTATCTAAATGTTAAAAAATGATAAAAAATTTTTTAGCGAAAGTTCCAGTTGAAAGAAGTGAGAATCGAGATAATTGAGGGAGTGAAAGAATACTCTAGAGATTCAAAGAAAGTCAGAAGACTAAAGGGGCAAAAAGAAAACTTCCCAATTAATTGATAGTTAGAAGCTTATTTCTTAACGTGATTCATTTGGCACCGAAGTTCGGTTAAGCTTGTCAATATAAAATTATCCTAGTATTGAATAAAACAATTTTTTAAATCAGGAATTGTTTTTGCAGAAGCTTGAAACAATGTCTGCATGGAAGATAAGTTAAGTTTTGATTGGCCTTTTTTTATCGGACAATTTTAAAAAGTTTTGCTTCTTTTATTTTTTTTCTCAATGTCCAGTTTAACTCAACTTTTAGAACAAAGAGTTTTCGCATCAAAACAATTTCACGACGCTTGTTCGCCAAATGCTAGAATCTTCAATTTGAAATTTATTAACATTTGAAAGAAGAAGTTTGGAGGTGGTTTTTGCTATTTCTTTCCCCAATGCGGCTGGAAGGGTTGGTGAGGTTCTTTAGTAGTAGTTGGAGGAGTGGCAGGAGGACGTGGCTGCGGCTGCGGCTGAGGTGGCTTCGGTTTCGGTCTGCGACGTCCACCTCCTATAGGCGTGAAAGCTGAGCTGGTGACCACGAAGAAGAGGAGGAGAAGGAGAAGTTGCAGCTTCATTTTTGTCGGAAACTGTTTTGAACTGTCTTTTATAGGGCGAGCTGAGCAAACTCCCATGACATCGTAGAGATGGATATTACTTTTTAATTTGTTTCTGGAAACACGAAATCGTACAGTCATAATGTGTAGTCCGCCTTTGCAGATTTAGAACAGAACGGACCCTTCTGAAATATTGTGTTGGCCGGATAGAATTGAGCGTTGGGTTTATCGATTTTCATTTCATTCGAATGCCAGGATTCGACAAGAACATTCATCTCCGTATATAAATTGGAAACAAATCGTAAATGCGCAGCAGAAATATTTTTTTAATCAATTTGATTTCATCATGCGGTTAAGTGAAATGAACGAAACGTTTATTTTGAACCGGCCAACCTAATAAGAGCTCCACACCAACTAGGGAATTGAGCGAACTATTTTTCGCTAATCTACTTGAAATTTTCGTAGGTACTGAACGGATAATATTATAGATGAATAATCAACTAGACTATGATTAACTTAAAAAGGTCATCTGCGAATCGTCATTGAGGAATTTGAGAACGGGCGAAAGAGACTTGAAAATCCTTTGATATACTGTTAAGCTGTCATTTCTTTTTCGCTAATTGTTTTTTTTTCACAAAAAACTCTACATCAAGAAAAAAGCATTTAAAAAAACTGTTTCGCAAAAAAAAGGCGGCTAAAAAGCATACTTTTCCAAGGAGTCTTCTCCATCCATGTATTAAACCACCATAATTCCAACTTAAAATGGAGGTCCTATCCTGATAACAGAGATAATCAGTGGAGTGGCACTAGTGAAGTCTCCGTCCTTGTGTGTGACGGCTATGGATTGTGAAGTCGTGGTTTATCACTACCATCATTTCTCAAGGGATTGAACTTGTGGCCCTGTGGACCGCAGACAGGCACACAACCTGTTGCGCTACGGCGTGCCGCTGCGTATTCCTTTCAACGCTGCATGTTTAATTATTCTGCTTTCAAAATTTATCAACAATTGAACAAAAACTTTTTTGATTTTCTATCCCCAGGGCGGTTGGTATGGTGTGTAAGTAGTTGTTCTAGCAGGTGGAGGAGGCGGAGGAGGACGAGGACGGGGAGGCGGCGGAGCTGGTTTCGGTTTCGGTTTTTTATGGGTAGGAATAGGTCTGAAAGCCGAGGCGGTGACCATGAAGAAGGCGAGGAGAAGAAGAAGTTGCAGCTTCATTTTTGTCAGAAACTGTTTTGAACTGTCTTTTATAGGGCGAACTGAGCACGCTCCCATGTCGACGTAGAGATTCATATTACTTTTTAATTTGTTTCTGGAAACACAACTTCGTATAGTCATGTGATTTTGGTCGGCGTTTACGAATGCGGAATCAAATTTTTGGCTCTCTATCTGATATAGAAATATTCTTGCAAGACCGGAAGAACTGTCAAGTTAAAGTATTGAATTGTCGTTTTTGTCAATTTTATTTTTATCAGTAATCAATATAGTCAGGTTTTTTCTTCTTAATACGTTGAAATAACCGATGGGTTTGAAACTTGACTTTTGTTACATACTTTTGTTAAACTGATAAAAATCTAACAGTTTTTCATGATTATTAAAGTTTTAAAATTCAAGTAGATTGCAGAAATGTTTCTATTCAGCGTTGAAAAGTCTAACTGGTAAATGAAATACTTGTTTTTGGTGAGTAAGCCAATGTTGCTGGCGGAACTGAATCTTTTCAATTTCTGGAACATTTTATATAAAATTTTTGCAGTTAAGTACGACAACGTAAATCTTTTCCGATCTGATAACATAGAAATCGTGTTTCCCAGTAGAAGTTTCAAAACAATTCCGATCAATCAAAACTCAATCACTATCCAATCTCAAGTGATGAGGGAAACATGGAACTTTTGATGGGAAATCAAGAGATTGCTGGGAAACTCGTCTCAAAATTGTGCGCTGTACTAAAGTTTCTCATTCCCGATGTCGTTGACGACCTTCGTCCTGCTAGCGATCTCTACGACATGTGTTTTCCCGCAACGAAGCAAGTTAACTCTAAAAAAAATACTAAATAGTCCTTTTAGGCTGTAGTTCTTGTAGCACACCGCAACACATTTTTGCTTGCAATGAATATAAAACGACCTACGCAGTGGCCCCCACGTATGTTGATATTCATGAAACAGCTCACAAAAGGGGTCTGAATTCGAGATTTTTCTGAAAATCGGCAAAAAATTCGGGCTAGAGCCAGAAAAAAAGGAAAGAGATGTCTATTTTGCATTGCTACAGGTGTATAGTAAGCTGATTAGTGAGGCTTAACCTTTCCCTAATAATACTTATTTCACATTTTTTTGAGTAAATTTTCAAAATGCTCAAGATGTCTCATTTTTTCCCTAATACGGAATTCATCATAATATATAATGGGAAAACCTCTCATTAGTTACTACTAGCTTTCTAATTTTTGAAGATTGATCTTTTCAAAACTGCTTGATCTTTCTTGTGCGCTCTCAAAAAGGTGAAAATCAATATATTTATGGGATTTTCGAGATTTTAGTTGAGTACATCGAACTTAACTGATTCAGTAATTTTTAAAAATCGTTCAAGAAAAAAATTATTTTCAATTTCAATGCACATATTTCAATCCTCGTGATGAGTACACAAAATAATCAGCTCAAATTATTTGTCTTCTCAAAAATCTAGGAGATATTCCAAGGGTCCGATGCGGTAACGACGGATGCCAGCAATTGACGGTCACTTGCCCGACGACTCCTAATTCCACTTTATGTTTCTTTTCGAATGGACTCCGTTATTTGCCGCAATCGAAAACTGCCAACCTGAAATGCGACAGCGGTTTATTTTTCACCGAAACCGACAACAAAATGTTTGCAAGTTCTCTTTGAACTGTAATTAAAAGAGGTTTCAGTGTCAGCGGAGTAGCCTGTGTTCGAGCTTGAAGACCCCTTGGCGTGAACATTTCAATAAATTTATCATTCTCCTTCATGTTGAGTGCACAGTAACGACGTTTGAAGAAAGCTTTACACGTTTGAAAATAGCCTCTCGGAGCGCTGTACTCATGTAGAGCATTAACAATGGAGAGCTTCAATGGTTTTGTGAGTTGAAAGACTTTCAAAGAGAAAAGTAACCTGGTGGAGAAAACATCAGTTACAAGATACTGTGCTGCGACTAAATAGTAACTGTATGGACCGTCAGAAATGCTCGGGACCACGAAACCAATCTGAATCGAGAGTAGACTAGTGACCTCACGTGATAATTAATAAAAATTATTGACCGAAAATGATAATGAATGACGAAGAGAAATTAGAAGACGGTTATCGGTAAACTTAAAAACACGTTTTTATGGTGTTATTTTCGCACTTCAGAGATCTGTCTTATTTTTCAAGAAGATGAAATCAAACCCGAACAAGGCCGAAAAGAACGATTCCCAAAGACATGATGACACCAACAATACATAAGTTCTTTTCAGAAGACTTCAGGTTTACTTGTAGTGAGGATATTCCTATCAGTGTTGCAATTGTCGTTGCAATCAAAATAATTAACGTTGCACTGCATAAAACTAACATGAAGACTGATAAGCTGGCCTGTAATTGAAAACTTTCTAATGAAAAGTTTTCTTGACTACCCAAGAGACAGCCCTTTTATAATTGATTGCGAGACCGCCGAAATTTTCAACTAGAAATGTCTTGGATATTATCAAATTCCAAGTTACGGTCAGGGGAAGAAGTAACGATAGAATGATGCACAATCGAAGATTCTCTGTCCACAGCTGAAACTTGGTTAATGTGGTTATTAATCTAGGGAATCGGATCAAAAATTGAAAACCTTTTGATGAGCGCTCGGGAAAGTAACACAAGTCATCCGATTGAGGGACAAAAACCACTGTATTACAAACTTGCCAGCTTGATGGTAGCCATAAAGAAAGTACAATGGTGTGAAAGCATACGTTGTTTCCATATGTCCAAAGTAGGAAATAAGGGGATCGCACAGAGGCATTATGTAGATCATGGAACGAAAAAAGAAAATGTCCACAATAATTGAGATCATGCTCTTAAAGTCAAAGGGATTCATTAGGAGAAATTATGAAAAAAAAAACATACAAGGACAGTATCCAGGGCGAAAAGAAGGAAGAATGCATTGTCTCTGAAGGTTTTCTGCTCCGAAAAGCAGATTGCTTTTATTATCAGAATGTCTAGTATAAAAGTTGGTATCATATAGGATAACTGTATAATGTATTTTAAAAATTCTATACTTGAAGAGTACGATTCTTTGTTGCATGGTTCTGGAAAGTGAGGTGTCTGTAACGATGTGGAAGCCATTAGAGGAGAGTTTATTGAAGTACGTAGGCGTGAGGAATCTCGTGTTTCGAATGAAAAGAGCTTCAGAAAGACGATGGCAGATCTTGATTACAGGCGTTGTAGAAATATAAGGTGATGGGAAAGTACAAGGAGCTTATTAGGACTTTTTTCGAGTACTCCAAATTATTAGTTTTGTCTGGTAGTTTTTGTTCCGAGTTGTCAAGCCGTCGTCAAAACGGATAAGTTACTGGTTTTTTTTTCTCTTAATGTTGAGTTGTTTGGGTGCTAGGTAACAACGTTTATTGATAGGTTTCCTAAATTATTCTCAAGAATGTTGAGTTTTTTTTTCACTCTATGTCGAGCGATTTATGTGTAGGAATGCGATATTTGCCAGATGTTTCCTTCTGAAAATTGCTTCCCGAAGCGATGTGCTCATGTAGAGGAGTAGTAAGGGTGAGCTTCAAGAAATTTGTGCATTAGCGCTTTTGGAATTGAAAGTCACCTGGTTGTACAGAAATCAGAAACAATATATTGTGATGCAATCAGATAGTTTTTATATGGGCCTTGGGCAATGTTCGGAATCAGAAATGCAGTCTGAAACATGAGAACCAAGTTAAAATTGGAATGGAAACTAAAAATTAAGTTTTTGACTAGATCCCGATTCCTTCATTTATAAAAAAAACAAGAAAAAAAAATTATTTATACGATCCTCTGCAAACTTGAAATCACACCCGAACAAGGCCGAAAAGGATGATGTCGAAAGACTTGATGACAGCAAGAACGCATAAGTTCTTCTCAGAAGACTTCAGTTTGACCTCCAGTGAGGATATTCCTATTAATGTCGCAACGGTCGACGAAATCAAAATGAATAATGAAATGATGCATAAAATCAGCATTAACACAGACAAGCTGGCCTGGAATCGACTTTTCTTTTTGAAGGTGACATTTTCGGTTACCCAAGAAACCGCCCTCTGGTAATTAATCGCCAGCCCTCCGGAAAGATCATCCAGAAACGCTTTGGATATTAATAAGTTCCATGTTATTGCCAGAGGGAATAGCAAGGAAACGACAATACATATTCGAAGTTTCTCCCTCCAGAGCTGAAACTAATCAATCACAACAAAGAAAAATTGCTGAAAAGAAATGATAAAATTTTTTTTCGATTACTACAAAATAGATCCGGCCACAACAAACATAGGTGAACCGAGAGGTAGATACTAGTCACTAGTATCTACCTCTCGGTTCACCTATGTTTGTAACTAGCGTTCTAAAATTCGACCGTTGGACCATTTAGACCGTTAAACTAATTTGACCGTTCAGTTTTCGAACGATTTTAACATGTTATTTTTCTGACCGTTCGTTTGACCGGCCAGTTTCTGAAATTTACGAAACCGACCGACCATTTTCCAAGTGACATTTCAAACGGTCAAAAAATGACCGACAATTTTCGAAATGACACTTCGAACGGTCAAAAAATGACCGACCATTTTAAGAGTGACATTTCGAACGGTCAAAAACGGACATGTCACTTTGAAGTGACATGTTGAAATGTTGAAACTCCAACCGTTCGACCAATGACCATTTATTATGAAATGTTGAAAAAATATTAGTCAAACGGTCGGTCGAACAATCATTTTTCGAAACTATAGTCGATACAAATAGCTATCGGGTAGCAACTTTTGAAAAAGTCAATCGGCGTATCGTAATCGGTGGTCGTTTGTATGCGGCCGGGTGCTATCTTTTTGGTACCTGTGTCGGAGGTCGATGCAAGTAGCTTCCGGGTAGCTACCTGGAATTCGCGATTTTTACCGGAAACTCTGGCATTGCTTCTCGCGTGGCTATTTTTTTGTTTCAGCGTTAGCCAATAAGACCCTGGAATACTTGGAAAGGTATAAAAACACTGGTGCTGAATAAACGACCAATGTGGAAGCCACTAGCAATTGCGAATTTCAGGTACTTACCCGGTCATCCAGATACCGACCAGGTACTATCCAGGTACCATAGAGATAGTACCCGGTCGCATACAAATGACCACCGATTACGATACGCCGATTGACTTGGGTTGCTATCCGGTATCTACTTGTATCGACCTCCCGATTCACCAGTGAACATGTCAAACTGAGACACTTAATGTAAAAATAAATGTGAAACTCACACACTTCCCTAACTGAAAAAAAATTAAAACCTTTTGATGAGTGCTCGGGAAAGTAACACAAGTCATCCGATTCAGTGACAGGAACCACTGAATGACGAATTTCGCGGCTTGAAGATAGCCGTAAATAAAATAGAAAGGTGTGAAAATATAGGTCGGTTCTCTAAAACCAAAGTAGGAAACCAAGGGGTGGCATAGCGGTGTTATATACATGATGATACGAAGAAAGAAAATGTCGATAATAATGGAAATAATGCTCTGAAAAATCGACTAATTTTGATATGGACAGTTTAATCATCAAAATTCATCTGCTAAGTTCTTTTGATGCTAATAAAATAAAAGTTTTAGTATCACTGAGCGCTAAAAAGTCGAAATAACTCTAGAATAGCATTTTTATCCAGAATCGAAATTCTTCATGTACTGATCAAAAAACTTTGTGTGTTTTCAGCATTAAATTCGCTGGTTTTTTAAGCGGTCAAGGATCGGAAAAAAATTAAGTCATAAAATAAACTTACAAGTGCCGTTTCCAGCGTAAAAAGTAGGAAGAAAGCATTGCTTCTGAAGTTTTCCCCTTTCGAGAAACATATTGCTTTGATTATCAAAATGTTCAATATCAATGTCGGCATCATATAAGAGAATTGTACGATGTATTTTAAAAGCTCTAAATCAATGGAATGGGAATTAATAACACAGGGAATTGTCGCAAACGGAGGCAATGATACGGAAGAGCTCATTTGGCTTGGTAGTGTGAGAAAAACGTTTTGAATGAAAGTAAACGTTTTCAAAAAAAGAAAATGGCAGACGATAATCACAGGCGAGAAAATTATAAGTTGATACACAGTAAGCTGAGCTCATGAGAATCTTCTTCCCAGCCACCCTAATTATCGCCTTGGGATGAAAGGTTCTATACTATGTTCAGCAAAAACTTGTCACGAAAGTGCACTGTCACAGTAAAACTTGCACTACATTAGTTTATTCAAGTTTCCAAGCGAGGTAAGATTCTAAGAAGACTATCTACTTGTTGAATGTCTTCTTACTCATGATTCTTCTCTCCGAAGGAAAAAAATTTTTGTTGATTACAAATGCAGTTTTTGGCACGTTTCCAGTGAAAAACTCGAAAAATGAGTTCATGAAAAAATAAACTTTTCAGCATTTATTTCTGAAATATATACTCTAGACCGCGTGAAAATATTTATCAACTAAAAAATTATTAAGCTTTCAGTTTGATTGGTTAGAGTGGACAGTCACGACGTTTGGTACATTCTCCGGAATCTCTCTTTTCTGGATCATCGCTTCCCGAAGCGCTGTACTCATGTAGATGATTATTAACGGAGAGCTTCAATAAATTATATAGGTAAAACTTTTTCCTCCGCAAAGTTCACCTGGCGGTACAGAAGTCGGAAACAATGTATTGTAGTGCGAGTAAATAGTTTTTATACGGGCCTTGAGAAATACTCGGGATCATGAATGCACTCTGAAGCAGAATATGAGAAGTTAGAAAGAAAAGGACATCATTTTATTTGAAAAGCTAAAATTCGGACTGAGTGCAATCTACTTTTTTCTTTTATTTTCGCCTTTCTAAACACCTAAACTTTCTGTATTTTTTCATTCTCGAGAAAATCCCGAAAATCAGTAAATTCAAACCCGGACAAGGCCAAAAAGAATGATCCCGAAAGCCATGACCACAGCTACGATGCACAAATTCTTCTCTGAAGACTTCAATCGGACTTCCAGCGATGATATTCCTATTAATGTTGCAACTGTAGAAGAAATCAAGATGACCAACGAAATAATGCATAAGACTAGCATGAACAATGACAAGCTGGCCTGAAATTGGAGAAAAAGTTAAGAAAAGTCTCTATAATTACCCAGGAAACTGCTCTCTGGTAGTTGATCGAGAGGCCTCCGAAATGAACATCCAGAAACGCTTTGGATATTATCAAATTCCATGTGACTGTCAATGGAAGCAGTAGCGATAAAGCTATGCACATCCAAAGTTTTTCCGTCCATAGCTTAAATGTGAGCATTTCATGTGAGAATACTTTTTTTTCGTCCCAGTTCAAATCCGAAAAACTCGAAAAAAGGAAACCTGTTGATGGGAATTCGGAAAAACGACGCAAGTCATCCGATTCAGTGACAAAAACCACTGGATTACAAATTTCCCGGCCTGAAGGTAGCTATAAATGAAATAGAAGGGCGTAAAAATATATGTCGGTTCTTTAAAACCAAAATAGGAATTCAGAGGCTGGCAAAGCGGCGTTATATACATGATGACGCGGAGAAAGAAAATGTCGATAACTATGGCGATGATGCTCTGGGAAATCAAGTCAGTTTGATTTAGTTTTTTTCTGTTATTCAAGAAACAACTCCGGACATCCTCCGAATCGGAACTTCCGAGAGCAGACGTGGAATCACCGTAAAAAACTACATCTAGTGAACCCAGTCTCCTTTAAAAAATCACTGTGAGCTTGTACAATTCCCTGGTCAGATCAGAACATAGTGAATTGGAAAAAAAAACGTACCAGTGCGGTTTCCAAGGCGAAGAGTAGAAAGAAAGCATTGCTTCCAAATTTAGTTCGCTCCGAAAAGCAGATTGCCTTGATTATCAGTATGTCCAATATGAGAGTTGGAATCATATATGAGAACTGTATAATGTACTTCAAAAGCTCTATACTAGCAGAGTAGGAAGTTTCGTCACAAGAAGCTGTAGGAGACGGTGGTGCAGACATGGTGAAACTAATTCCAGTACGCCTGAAAAAAATAATTTAGGAGGTGAAGAAAGGAAAGAGGAAGCGCCAGACATTAATCACACCACAGACGATAGAAATCATAAGGTGATATACATGCGTTCCAAAGAGATCATCAAAATCATATTCCTAGCCGCTCTAAATATTGGTTTTGACTGAAAGCTTCAAGGCTACATACACCAAGAGGTTGTCATTAAAAATTCACTGGTGACTTAAAGATTCAGAACTTTTTTTGCTGACCATTTTGTTAACAGTGTTTCTCAACCAATGTCAAGACTTTCCGATGATGGTGACTCATTGAAAAAGAGTTACCCACAAAAATAACGAAACAAGAATTTTTTCTTTGAGTTCAGTTATCATGAGATGTGAATTTCGCTTTTTGAAAATATATGATGTTGAAAAAAAAAACACCTGTTGCAATATTTTTCGGTTGTGTATCGACGAGTAAAAAATTTATAAGTTAAGTTGGGAGCGCAAGGTTTTTAAATTAGAAGAAAAAAGTTCTTTAATCGGTGTTCTCAGAGTAGTCAATACTTTGAAGAACTTCTTGTCCGTCGAAACTTGAGGGATTTTTTATCAATCCATTTATTTTGATTGGTTTGAGTGAACAAAAGCGACGTTTGCCCAACGCTTTTTGCGTTTGAAAATTGCCTCTTGGAGCGCCGTACTCATGTAGAGGATCAACAACGGAGAGCTTCAAAATGTATAAGTTTGAGCTTTTCATAATAAAAAGTCACCTGGTTGAACAAAAGTCAGAAACAATATATTGTGATGCGACTAAATAGTTGATATATGGACCCTGGGCAATGCTAGGAATCAAAAAACCAGTCTGAACCATGATATAATCAGCTTATCAGTAAGAAAAAAAAATCTTTATACTTTTTTCAGGAAAAAAATTAATGGAAATCTAACCCGGACAATGCCAAATAGAATAATCTCTATGGTCATGATGAGAGCTACAATACATAAGTTCCTCTCGGAAGACTTCAATGTGACTTGTAGGGAGGATATTCCTATTAATGTCGCGACTGTTGTCGTGATAAGAACGATCAAGGAAACGCTGCACAAAACCAACATGAACATTGACAAACTGGCCTAAATTCGACGAATTTCGATGGAAGACTCTTTTAAATACCCAAGAGACCGCCCTTTGATAATTGATCGTAAGGCCGCCAAAAACATCGGCCAAAAATGTTCTGGATATAATTAAGTTCCACGTGACTGTTAGAGGTAGCAACAATGATACAAGAATGCAAAACCGAAGATTATCTTTCCAGAGCTGAAAGTTCAGCCCAATTATCCAAAATAAATTCAAAGGAGAAATAGCTGAGCTTAACAACTTTTAGTTCTATGGTCTATAGAACAAAAAAAGAAAGTTTGAAGCTAAAAAAATTTTGAGATAGAAAAAGCTCGAAACCTGTTGATGGGTGTTTGGAAAAACGACGCAAGTCATCCGATTCAAAGACAAAAACCACTGGATCACAAATTTGCCAGCTTGATGATAGGCATAAATGAAATAAATAGGTGTGAATGCAAAAGTTGGCTCTTTATAACCAAAGTAGGTAATAAGGGGATTACACAGAGGCATTATATAAATTATGACCCGAAGAAAAAAAATATCGACAAAAATAGAGATAATGCTCTGGAAAACCAATCAGTTTCATGTTCGGAACTGACATTTTTCATTCGAAACGCTAAAAACCGTCAAAAACTCTCGAACTTTCCAGCATAAGTGAACTATTCTAGGTTATCATGAATCAAAGAATCGCAGATTGATTGGAAATTAAACTCACTAGCGCAGTTTCCAGGGCAAAAAGTAGAAAGAAAGCGTTGCTTCTGAACTTAATTTTTTCCGAAAAGCAGATCGCTTTGATTATCAAAATGTCCAATATTAAGGTCGGTGTCATGTAAGAGAATTGTACAATGTACTTCAAAAGCTCTATATCAGCAGAGTAGGAAGTATCATGGCAAGGTCTTAAAAAATAGGAAGTCGCTAAAGACGTTGAAGACGTTGGAGACGTTGAAGACATTACGACGGAATTTGAGGAGCTCTGAAAAGACAAACTTCTGACTTTGATTCAAGAAACGATTCAGAAGAGGGCATGTCTGACGTTAAGCTTTATTATTATAAAAGGTGATAATAGCTTGTTAAAAATGTTATTCCGGCGATCTTAAAATTGTTTTTGGTGAAAGAAGTTTTTTTAGTTCAATTTATATACAGATTTTTTTTTTTTGAAAGAAGCATAGCGAAAACTTATAAATGTCTTGTTACAAAGTCTTCGAGTTATTGGGGACGGAGTAGGGTAAGGTTTCTAACTTTATTTATTTCTGAAAATAAGCAAGAAACCACTTCATCGACAAGGTTTGAAGTTTCAAACGTGTCGCGCAAAACGCTCAAAAAGACCAATCAAGGTGATTCGCGAGGTAATAACCATGAACGACTAATACCGGTGCTACGACAAGAGCGAGTTTTCCATTTGCGAGCAGTACTGTATGCGGCAAAGCGCATTGCGTGCATGCACTCTGCGTGTTTACACTTTTTGTGGCGTGACGTCATCGCGCCGTACATCGGCAGGGTTTTTTTGCTTGCGGGTTTTTCGGATTTTTTTGAATTTTTCCGGCTTATTTATTTTTCGAAACAAAAAAAGAAAAACTCTGTTTGTCAAAGGGGGCAGCTTAGGAAAAATGTTTCTTTATAGATAGCTATTAGGTCAACTCCACAAATATGGAAAGAAGTAAGCTAATATTGATATTTCAAAGAGGAAAATATCAAAAAAATTGCATCATAACAAATACCAGTAATTGAAATAAGTTATATCAAAAAAATAAGAAAAATAAGAAAATAACAAATTTTTACAGAACCACCATATCAAACAAAAGTCATTTTTCCCAGAAAAATCTTCAAGATATTTTAAATGTACATTGAGAGATTTGAAGGGACTTGTCAGAAATTTTACGAAAATTGGTTTCTTGTACAATGCCGGTGTTGAGGGTGGAGGAGCAGGGACATCTTTTTTTCGCCAAAACTTCCTTTGTGATTTCTTGTTGCTTTAAAAATTGAGTCGAAAAACAATGGCGTTAACATAATCGTCACTTTCCATCCTGAATTTCATTCATAGCACCACTTTTTTTCATTTCAAAAATCTGAACGAGAGAAAAAAATATGAGAAGAAGAAGAACACGAAGATTTTTTTGAGGACAAAAAGGAGCCTTCTTATAAGGTAAAAAGAAGTTTTTCTTTTTTTGTTTCGAAAATTTTCGCACAATCAAAACCAAAAATCCATCCAAAAAAATTCCGAAAAAAACATTGAAAAACCCGCAAGCAAAAAAACTCGCAGATGTACGGCGCGATGACGTCACGCCACAAAAGTGTAAACACGCAGAGTGCATGCACGCAATGCGCTTTGCCGCATACAGTACTGCTCGCAAATGGAAAACTCGCTCTTGTCGTAGCACCCTAATACCATTACTGGAATTACAAAGAAGAATCAGGAAGTCAATTTTTTCTTAATGATAGCAAAGGAAGCCTGGGGCCTAGGCTTTGATTATGGGCTTTAAAATCTCGTTTGAAAAACAGCTAATAGTTTTATGATTCGGGCTTTTTTTGATCAAAAAAAGTTCTTTTTAATAAAGTTTCATAGTCTATGATGTCTTGGAAAAAGTTGGAAAGGTCGTAAACAAAGCGCAATTTCATGTCGGCAAAAAGTAACCAGGTGATTTGAAAGTCAGACGTGCATTTTTTTTTCGGTTTCATATTGAAAAAAACGAAATTTTCCGGGAAATACCTTTTTTTTTCACGGGCTTTCGGGAATACCTCTTTTTTTGCACGGGCTTTTTTTCGAATAAATCAAAAAAATGAAAAACTGGGTCTTCGAGAAAAGTTCAGGCAAACCTTCATGATGCATTCAAAGTTTAATTTTTAAAAAGCCCTAAACCTGAATCTTTACTCATAACTGTGCTAGTAGTAGGAAAGTTTGAAAAAGTCAAAGTTTTCAAAAAAATGAATCCCATGGAAAAAAAGTTATCGTGGTAATATTTTTGAAATAACTTCAGAGTTATGGTAAATATTTCAAGCTTCAACCTGGGAATCACCTGTGGGGAAAGATTGTTCGAGGAAAGCCTCTGTTTTTTTAAAAAATTTTTGAGGAAGTCAAAATTTTTCACCTCAGCCCCTCTAAACATTTGCATTTATTGTTTTGGAAACTTTATTTATTGCTAATGTTTTTTCCTTGCCATTCCAAGAACCATTATTTTTCAATTCGCATAAGTAATTTGTTTCGATCGGATAGACGCGACGGACGGCGATGCAGAAACGATGACGACTTTTGAGTCTCCACTTTTGAATAAGACTTTCCGCAAAGCGCTGCTCATGTAAATCATCACGATAGGAGTGCTGAAAACAACTTTTTAAGGTTTCAAAAGCTTAGAAATTTTGTATCTGAAAAACGACGCAATTTGAAAAATCCTACCAAACATTGCAAAAGTCGATGGTTAAGTACTGTGCAACGAGAAAATAATCAAAATAGATGTTTTTCACTAAGAAGCCAGCCTGAATCACGTTTCGTCTTTTTTCGAATTCAACATGAACAAACCCTGGCCATACAGTTTATCAAAATGGTGAACGCCATGAATAATGTAACGAAAAAGAGGTTTTTCTCGGATGCTTTCAACCTTGTTTCCATCGAAATTAAACCGAACAGGGTAATAGTTGTCGTAACTCCGAGTATGAGTATGGTTGTGGCACTCAGAATCAACATGAAAAGGGATAAACTCGCCTTGAATTTATTTGCAAATGAAGAAAATAGTTGATCAACTCACCCAACTAAAAGTTTTCGTATAAGCGACCGTGAGACCCCCAAGTTCCTCTAACAAGTAAGTTTTCGAAATGGCTACATTCCAAACGACGGCAATAGGGGCAACGAAAGAAAAGACGATGCAGAAAGGAAGGAATTTCTCCCATAACTTTAAAATGCTTCAGAGAATCTTTGAGAGCCTGATTCGATTTACCTCATGATGACGAGTCGGGGAGATAACAGAGGTCATTCTGTTGATGGACAAGAACCAGTGCAGAAAAAACTTCAGAGCTTGTGAGTAGTGGGAAAGAAAGTAAAAAGGAGTGAGGATATAACTCGGTTTTAGATATCCAAAGATTGAAATCAGAGGCCAACATAACGGAGTGATGTGTATATGATAGACCGGAAAAGAAGTATTTCCAATAAAATGTATAAAATCCTCTAAAAAATCATCTGAATAATAACATGTTAAGAAGGTTTACCACACAAGTGTCGATGCCGAAAATGATAAAAAAGGCGTTTTGCCGAAAGTTTTTGTGCTCTGGTGAGAAAAAAATCGTCTTGACAATTAGTACGTCTACGATAAGAGCAGGAATCATATAAGTCATTTGTAGGCAGTATTTGGCCAATTCGCCACCAGCGTTGAAAGTTGGATCGCAGAGGATCGGCGGGTACTCGGAGTCGTTCATTTGCTGAAAAGAAAGATAACTGAAGGACTACAGACATTGAAATTTTCGAAGAAAAACATTTTGTGAGCAATTAAAACGAGCAACTTTCTATGACTCGGCTGTCTGCTGTGCAATTACATACAGAGTTTGAGGTAAAGAGCAATGATTATATTTTTGAAGCAATGTCCATTTTTTTCCAGTGTGATTTTCGAAATGAATCTGAAACGCCTCCCTAGCTGAATTAAACAATTTTTTCCTGGGAAATACTCAAATGGTTTGAAAAATCAAAACCAACTAGAAAAAAGCAGCCAAAACAGCAAAAACTAAAGTGTATCTTTGAATTATAATGCTTTGAAAAAAAAAACGTGATTCGTTTAAATGTCCTTCCGGGTGCTAAACACCTTTTCGGAGAATGAATCAGAAACTTTTTCTTCACACTGCAAAGTCAGTTCTACTGGGTGGCTCTTGGAACACGTTAATGTTTATTGGCCGCAACTAGAACAAGTTTTTGAAAGAAAAAATGAAATTTACACTGACGTAATTGTGCTTAAATTTAAATGAATCGTCAGAAAAATAGAAAATTTTGCGCGGATATCGGTTTTACTCAAATTCGAAACAGCAGAAAAAATAAGATTTTGCAGTTTGGCTTTCAAATAATTTTTGTTCTCATTCAATTCCTATCTTAGATTTTCAAAGCTTCGTAAAACTTCGTAAAAGGTTCTTTCGAATTTTTAGGAACTTAGAGTGGACTCTAGAGGGGCTATAGAGAAAAACAGCCCCATATTGCGCAAATTTTCAAGAAGGCTAAAATTTATATAGTACTGATAAGGTTTCAGGGTTTGACCCAAAAGCCTCTAGAGCTTTAGTTGTCCTAATAATGGTCTTAAATTTTTTGTTATGATTTGAAAAATCTTAATTAGTAAGATTTCGTCAATTAGTCTTCTGGTCATATTTCTTCATTCGTGTGTTCATAAGTTTATCGCATGGTTTCACTTGTTCTCATAGAGTTTATCACAATCAATGACTAGCATGTTTCTTTAGAGTGTTCATTTAAACAAATCTCTCAAGTGGACTCTTTCGCAAGCCTTACGTCCCTCTGTAAGCGGAGTTAAAATGTTCTCTGGAGAGTAACCTTCAAGAACGCCTCAGGCTGCCTTTTTAGGGAACCTTTTGGCGTTCCTAAATATACGTCTTATCGAATTCAAATGTCCATGTCAAAGCTGTAATTTATCAATGACTTTTCATCTTAAAGACAAACTTTCCATACTTTTATTCATTTTGAAGTGAATCTCTCTTCATTTCGATCGATTAGACGCGACGGATTCCGTGGAAGAGGCAACGACGATTATTGAAGGTTCTTTCTCGAGCAGGACCTTTCTCAGAGGACTGCTCATATAGATCATGACGATTGGTGTGCTGAAAACAAATTATGGTGTCAATTATTTGGAAAAACCTTACCAAACGTTACAGAAATCGATGGTTAAGTACTGTATGATGAGCAAGTAATCAACGTTAATCATTTGCATTATGCTCGGCACTAGGAAACCCGCCTGTATAACAGTTTCATTTCTCAATTTTTCGCTTCAAAAATACCCGAGCCATAGAGTTTATGACTATGGTGAAAACCATAAAGAGTGTGACGATAAAGAGGTTCCTTTCTGATGTTTTCAATCTTGTTGTCATTGAGACTAAGCCAATTAGGGTGACAGTTGTCGTGATACCAAGTATGAGCAGTGTTAGGGCGCTGAGTAACAACATGAAAGAAGACAAGCCAGCCTTCAAGCTTTTCATTAACTTCAAACAGAGATGAATATTCTACCCAACTGACAACTCTGGTGTAACCGACAGTGAGACCACCAAGTTCTTCCACTAAAAAAGTTTCTGAAATCGCCACGTTCCAAACGACGGCAAGAGGAGAAATACAGATGAAACCGAAACTGAATGCAAGAAACTGTTTCCAGAACTGAAAATTATTTTGTGCCCTTGGGACAAGTTTGTGCTACTAACCTTTTGATGACGGGTTGGAAATATAACACATGTCATTCTGTTGATGGACAAGAACCACTGGAGGATATACTTCAGAGCTTGTGAGTAGTGGGTGAGGAAGTAGAAGGGAGTTAGAATAAAGCTTGGTTCAAAGTAGCCGAAAACTGCAATCAGAGGCCAGCACAAAGGAGTGACATGTATGATCATCCGGAAGAAAAAAATATCCAAGAAAATGTATAAAATCCTCTGCAGTCAGACAACGCTGTCTAGCTGAATTTCTCCACAAAGTCTTACCACACAAGTGTCAAGGGCGAACAGGATAAAAAAGGCATTTTGTCGGAAGTTACTCCGTTCAGATGAGAAAAGTATTGCCCTGACGATTAATATGTCCACGTAAAATGTTGGGACCAGATAGGCCATTTGTAGGATATATTTGGCCATTTCGCCACCGGCATTAAACGTTGGATCGCAGAGGATCGGCGGGTACTCGGAGTCGTTCATCATTTTTACTAACCAAAAATGGTGCAAAAAGTGAGGACAGGTTTGAAACCTTGCGAAACGGAGTGGAGTTTGTTTGTCAGTGAAGCTAACAGGCAATTTCTCGATAATCTAGGGTTTTTCAGTGTTTAATTATATACAAAACGAGAGAAGAAAGAGCTTTGACCTTCATCCTTTCAAAAAATACGGTAGATACTTTTTGGTTTGATGTTTGATTGGGTTTGAAGTTTAGTGAAAAATTTTTTCATCTTATCTCTCCATCAGAAACATTTTTAGATACAGGCATTGACCTTTAGAAAGTTTGCATTACTGCCACTTTGAAAAAAAAAACGCTATACACCTTTTATCTCAAAGTTGATGTTTTTACTTATAAACGGCACTACTTTTTACAAATTTCCAGGTAGAAAGTAGTAAGTGAGCTGGTTTTTCTGTTGTTTGGGTAATTCATAAAGCCAACTTTGAAATTTTTTTTTCAATAACTACATTTAAAATCAATCCAACTTATTTTTTCCTTTTTTCAAGGTCATTTCTTCGCATGTATGAGTTTTTTTTTCACAATCAAACAAATAACTTCATTGTTTTGAGCGGATAGACGCGACAGATTGCGGCGAAGGTACGAGGGCGGTTCTTGGTGTTTGAAATTCTAGCAATACCATTCGCAGAGGGTCACTCATGTAGATCATGACGATTGGAGTACTGAAAAATTACGTTTTATATTGATTTCTGATGCTTTTAGATCTTCAAGAACATGAATGAGAAACTCACCAAACGTTGCAGAAATCAATAGTTAAGAACTGTGCTATAAGCAAGTAATCTATATAGATGCCATGGGCAATGCTTTTTATTATGAAGCAAGCCTGAAAAGTTCAATTTTCGAAACTGCGTCTTTGAATGAATCAAAACCCGCACTATTGAGTTGATGACGATAGTGAAGGCCATGAACAAGGTGACAATGAACAGATTTCTCTCCGAGTTTTTCAACCTTGGCTTCATTGAAACCAATCCGATTGAAGTAACAGTCGTCGTAGCCACAAGTATGATCAGTGTTATGACACTCAGAATCACCATGAACAGAGCCAAAATAGCCTCAAAAGACTTATTTATTGATTTGAAAACGATACTATACCCAGTTCACAGTATTATCATAGGTGATCGTGAGGCCTCCGAGTACTTCAATCAAGAAACACTTTGATATAGCCAAGTTCCAAACGACGGTCATTGGCGCAACACTAACAAATCCGATACAGAATGGAAGACTTTTTTTCCAAAGCTTGAAAAATATTCCACATTTTGAGAAGTTCGTTTATTTTACCTTGAGATGACGAGTTGGAAACACAACGCAGGTCATCCTATTAATGGACAAAACCCATTGTAAGATGAACTTTTGGGCTTGTAAGTAATTGGTAACGAAGTAGATAGGAGTGAGAATATAAGTTGGCTCAGAATAACCAAAAACTGAAATTAGCGGCCAGCATAACGAGGTAATGTGAATAAGTAATCGGAAAATAAAAATATCCATCAAAATGTACACTATCCTCTGAAAAAGATTTACATCTGACCTTACTTAGAATGGCAATACGCGTTACGGTATTTTCAGAATAAGTTTCCTATTTCCGCACGTTTACTACTTTTTCCGTTTTCTTAAAAATGACCGTTTCGCATTCGTAAAATCATTATTATTTGGGAGAAAAGAATCGACAGTTATATATACACAGCTATAATGATTCAAAACAGTCTCACCATGCAAGTGTCGATGCCGAAAATAATGAAAAAGGCATTCTTTCGGAAGTTTTCTCGTTCCGACGAGAAAAATATGGCTCTCACGATAAGTATATCGACGATTAGAGTAGGAATCAAATACGATATTGTGAGACAGTATTTGAAAATTTCGACGCCGACATCAAAACTGGGGTCACAAAGGGTTGGAGGGTACTCGGAGGAATTCATTCCTGCAGAAAGAGTGGAAAATAACCCCACCTTTCTTTAAATGCCATTTTTTTCGGTGAAACGTGTGTGAGAGTAATAATAAGAGACAATTTAACATGGCGGCAAAGTATGCAATTAGAAGAAGAAAAAAACTTCGTCTTTAGTTTCTATTTAAGAATTTTTCGGTTGTGTTTTTTGATTCATTTTTGCTCCAAATTGTCAGCACTTTTTGATGTCAATTTTTTTTTTATTGTTACTTTTGAGGAGTGCCGCATCTTTCAAATTTTCCGTTTTGAAGAAGTTTAGAAAGTGCTTTAAAAATTTGAAGTTAAGTTAAAACATTTAAAGTTAAGTTAAAATAAAGTGTTTTTCAGTCGTTAAAGAAAATTCAGCTAGCCGACTCTAAAATTTAAATTTAAAAAAATTTTAGAGTCGGCTAGCTGAATTTTAACGACCGAAAACACTTTATTTTAACTTTTAAAAACATCCTTCCTTCCAAATGGCTGTTGTTTACATTTTATTTCAAAACAGCCAATTCTAATTGATATAAATATATTTTTTTCTTTACGAATTCTAAAAAAACATTATTTCTTCGGGCGGATCGACGAGACGGATTGCGCAGTAGAAAAAAATCAAGGTTTCAGGTTTTTTGAACTCGAATAGGACCTTTCGCAGAGATTCGCTCATGTTGATCATGACGAATGGGGTGCTGGAAATTAATGTATTTTTTCCTTTTCCATTTTATAGAAATCGAATCTCAGAAAACCTCACCAGACATTGCAAAAGTCGATCGTTAAAAATTGTGCCATAATCAGGTAATCAATGTAGATGCCTTTTGCTATACTCGGTAACAAGAAGCAAACCTGTAGATTTTTTTCTTAAATTTCATTTCTTTTTCGATTCAGGCGAACCCGCACTATTGAGTTGATGACGATAGTGAAGGCCATGAACAAGGTGACAATGAACAGATTTCTCTCCGAGTTTTTTAATCTTGACTTCATTGAAACCAATCCGATTGAAGTAATAGTCGTCGTAGCCACAAGTATGATCAGTGTTATGGTACTTAGAATCACCATCAAAAGCGCCAAACTCGCCTTTAGAAGTTTCTTGTTGAGATTTAAGATGAAAGCCTACCCATTCTACAGCTTTTGCATAAGTAATCATGATTCCTCCCAGAACTTCAACCAAAAACGTCTTCGATATGGCCACGTTCCAAACAAAAGCCATAGGTGCGACACAAGCAAAGCCAAGACAAAACGGAAGAGAAATCTTCCAAAGCTCGAAAAATATGTCGTAATTTGAGAGGTTCAGTCATTTTACCTTGAAATGGCGAGTTGGAAAAGTAACACAGGTCATTCTGTTAATAGAGAGGAACCATTGTAAAATAAACTTTTGTGCTTGTAGATAGTTGGCCACGAAGTAGAAAGGAGTGAAGATATAAGTTAGCTTGAAGTAACCGAAGACGGAGATCATCGGCCAACATAACGGAGTGATGTGTAAGAGTAATTGGAAGAAAAAAAGATCCATCACAATATAAATTATTCTCTGGAAAAAGTTTTGAACTACGGACTATCATAGCTAATTTGCCATAACTTATATTTTTTGAATTTCAAATAGCTCAATGCATCGCGGTTGGGCTGCGGTTGAAGTTCGAACTCAGAAATTTGCACCCAGAGTCGGGCGCAACTTCCCAGTAAGTGCTTCAGAGCCGTGTTGAGACGTTCAAATTGATTCATATTGAAGTATACGCCCTTTTCTTCACCAAAACTCTAAAAAAAAACTCACCATACAGGCGTCGAAGGCGAAAAGGATGAAAAAGGCATTCTCTCGAAAAGCTCTCTTTCCTGATGAGAAAAATATGGCTTTTACAATCAATACATCAAGGAATAGAGTTGGGATGAGATAGGCCACTATTAGGCATAGTTTAAACAGCTCGACACCGACATCGTAACTAGGGTCACAGAGAGTTGGTGGGTACTCGGAAACGTTCATTTCTACAGAAAAGAGTGAGGAGTGACCGAACTTTCTTCAAAATGTGGTTGTATTCTGGAGAAACGTGTTCGTGAGCAATAATGAGATACAATTTCCTGGGGTTTCAAAGTGTACAATTAGACAAAAAGAACGCTGAGTCTTGTTCTCTTCTAGATACGATTCCTTTTTTTTTCAAGTTCAAGTCTTGCTCAGAAATGCCAGCTTTCAAAACTTCAGCAGTTTTCTACGATCAAAAACGAAGCAGAAGAAATTGATGAATTTATCAATTAGTATTGGTTGGAACTTTGGGTACGTTATTTTTCTTCCTGTTTCGCTGAGAGAACATTATTGAAGTACTTTCCATTGACATGGATCCGCAGGATCTGAAGTTTCTAAATTATTGTTTTTTGAGACCGTTGGAATTACGCCAAGTTGGTTAAGATATCGCGAATCCCCTTGCAAGTGAGAATGAGAGTCCACGGAGCTGCGATGCACATCAGCTCGGTGGCGAAGTACCTAAGTTGTTCGATATAATCTTCAAAAGAAGAAGGAAAATACCATAAATCGGTAGCAAGGCCTAGAGTTTCCGCGTCTGTTGCAAAATATAGGATGAAGGATTTGATAGTGTTAGGAAGGAATGGAAGGAAAGTCAGAAAAGCGCACCAAAGGATGACGTGGTCGGGGTTCTTAATTTGAAATGATCAATAATGATTATGAGATCAGTTTAGTTTGATCTAGGAATGAGTATGGAGGCTTTTGAAGGCGCCCATTTAGAACCTTATTTTTTCCACACTTACATTGGTACTCTGAAGATTTTTCTGTTGAAAAACACGCAAAAATACAGCAAAATACATCAGAATGCAGAGAAGGCAGCACGTCGAACTCAGGATCAGGTCTTGTAACGCGTCAGTCTGAGAAAAGTTTAACTAGAAATTCTATCCAACTTTCTGCTTTTCATAACAATTTGTTTGCCATTTTGGGAAGCTGTTTTGCTCACATAGTGCAATTTATCATTTTTCATAAAAAAAAACAATCAAGATACTCTTGAAGAAAAAAAAAACACCTGCATGAACTCAGCATCGGCTCTCAAAGACAACTTTTTGTTTCCAACGTCGAGAAAAGAAAAAACATGGTCTCCCGTGTAGAATAGTGGCGCGACGATAATCAACGACAAAACCCACTCGAAAATGTATAGGACAAAAATAATTTTGCTTTGGAATACCTTAAACTTTGAATAAATCACCATCGCAACTTTTTCTAACCTTTTTATGGAGCCATGGGCTGAAAACTACAGAAAATCGGTTGAAGGCCGATACGCAATAGCCAAAAAACATAGTGTTTTTGATGGTAGTTTGAGAGAAATAAACAAAACGCGTTACGGAACTATCGATTTGAGGTTCGAATAAGACGAAAATTGCGTATTTTCTTGGCCTCGATATTATTTCAACAAAAAGAAACATTATTGAGTCGGTAATCATCTGAATTTAAGAGGAATTCAGGCTTTTCACTTCCGACTCACGTGAAGGAGGACTAGCTTGAAGTAGGAAGATTTGAAGTCTTTCAGATTGACAGAAATAATGAGACCACACAAGAGATAAACTAAGAACGAGAACCATCCAATTGGCATAAAAACCAAGTGAGAAATAGGTACAAACTGGAACCACATCCTTCTAAAACCTCGATTCTTTGATTTCCTGATGTTTTCCAAGTATCAATCGATTAAGAATCTCGAGAATTATGGATTGGCCAAAAAATCGGAAAAGTAAATTGTCAATAGTTTTCGCAACAATGTTTTCGATCAAAATTTTTCACCCAAAGGAATGAATTCACAACTTTCAAAACTTGACTGAATATTAAATAAGTGGAGCGGAAGAGAAAAACATAAAATTCTTCCAAGGGTGAGGATAAGGTCATTTCAAATCATCCGCTCGTCTGCCCGCTCTTTTTTTGATTAAATAATTTAATAAACTTCAACGGCTGAGCTGGTAAGAGACTTAATAAGATTAATGCAAAAAAGTCAAACATCCAAAGTCGATTTTAATTAGTCATAACTGAAGCTTCATTAGAATGCGCACAACAATATTATGTTATGTGGGCTTTGAAAACAAAAAAGGATGCCCATTGGCGGGTTTGAACCACCGACCTTCTGTTTACAAGACAGACGCTCTGCCACTGAGCTAAACGGGCTCTGGAGTTTTTAGCCTGAACGATTGTTTAAACATACATGTTCAAATTTGTACAAGTTTGGATTAGAGGATGTAGGGATTCAATGAGTCATCATTCTTTCTCTCTGACACATATCCAGCGAAATATGGGATCATTCCAAATTCACGTTTAGCTCAATGGCAGAGCATCTGTATAATAAAGAGAAGGTCGCTGGTTCAAACTCGCCAGTGGGCATTTCTGAAAGAAATGAAAAAATGTTTTTTCGAAGTCGTGGCGTCATTTTTGAGTGAGAAAAATGATAATATTACCCGAAACTGAAGGAGAAAAATTAATTAAAAAGTGAGAATTGTTTTTTTCTTGATTAAAGTAGGCACGAAGAAATTATCTTATTAAACTAACTAAAAATAAATGAAAATGATTTCTGGAATTTCAGAACTTGTTCTACCTGCTGATTTGAAAAAAAAATGGAAAAAACACAAAAAAGACTGCCCACTGGCGGGTTTGAACCACCGACCTTCTGTTTACAAGACAGACGCTCTGCCACTGAGCTAAACGGGCTCTGGAATCTTTTTCTAGATTTGGAAGTATGTAATGTCTGTGTAAACAGGGAACGTCCACACGTGCGGCTCAACACAAATAAGCGAACATTTCTGATGGAGACTTTGCTTTCCTTCCTTTCTCATCTGTCAAGTTTCGTAATTTTTATATACTCGCTCTTTTTATTTCAAGGCAACCCTGAACAACGTTTCTGTAAGTCACGAGGTCATTTTTTAATAAAAAAACTCAGAATGTCTCATGATTCGGGTAAAAAGGAAATGAAGTTAGATTCTTGCAACAAAGTTTCCATGGCTGAAACTGCCACAGGTGATTTATCATAATTCATGAACTTATTTGTGCATGAAGAAACGGATTTGTTTCAAAAAAAAGGGGCGAAAAACTCAAGAGGTCATCAGAATTATCCGTCGCTGTGACACGACTGCTGAAGAATTTGTGGCTTTGAATTCTCGGCGAACGCTGAAGTTTGTTTCAAATGAAATATAAAATTTCAAACAACTCACAAAATTGATATTATAATGTTTCGGATGGTTTTGCAAGTGAGAATGAGCGTCCACGGGGCGGCTAGGCACATGGCTTCTGTCACGAAAAACCTTAAAAATATTGAGATTTTTCCATAAATCCTCACTTACAGTACCGCTCAAAAAGTCTATTAAGTTTTGGTTTTTGGGGGATATCTCAGCGAGTACTTATCCGATTTATATATAACTTTCAGGGATAATGTAAAAATATACTTTTGAAACGTATACGGTATACAAAGACATGTCCGCAATGACTGTGACGCGTTTTAGGCATTTTTTTATTGAATTCCATTTTTGTTTTTTTATGCTTTTTATTTTTTTATTAATTTTTATTAAATTTTTTTAAAAATTAATAATGTCGCCATATGATTTTTTTCATGTTTTTCAGACATGGGAAGAATCTCTGGAAAAAGAATTTGACTGATAACGACAAAAGAGCCATCGTTGTGGGTCGTCAAAATGGACTGACCATGATGACGTTGGCAGGAATGTTCGGCGTGACAGAGGCGTGCATTTCTCAGTCCCTAAAGCGTTGGAAAGCTCAAGATGGCTCTACTAAGAGCCAACGCACTAGAAGACCACGTGTCACTGATCGTAATGACGATAGGAACATTTTGAAGACGTCTAGAACCAATCCAAGACTCACCGCCCCTGCGATCAGACGGGAAGTTTTCTTGAATTCGCCATCTCCGCCATCCGTCTCGACCGTGAAACGACGTCTGAATGCTGCTGGAATCATGGGAAGACGTCCAGTGAAAAAACCGCTGATTTCTGAAAAGAATCGAGCCGCCAGGGTGAAGTGGGCGAAGGAGCATCACAACTGGACCCGTCAAGACTGGAACAAGATTCTGTGGTCCGACGAAAGCAAGTTCCTCCTCTTCGGGAGTGACGGAATTCAGTGGGTTCGTAGACCAATTGGGTCCCGATATCATCCGAAATACCAATTACCCACCGTGAAACATGGTGGAGGTTCCTGCATGGTGTGGGGCGCCTTCTCTGGAAGTGGCATCGGACCGCTTCATCGCGTGAACGGCATCATGGACAAGCACGTCTACAAAGACATTCTCCAGAACCAGATGTTGCCGCACTTGAGAGCCATGGGTCGTGGGAGTGTTTATCAACAGGATAACGATCCCAAGCACACTTCACTGTTCGTCAAGGGGAGAAAAATTGACAAGTAATTCGTATGGTTTTTGAAACTCAGGACTGGTTCAAGAGCCGTCGGGTCAATGTCATGGGGTGACCAAGTCAATCTCCGGACCTGAACCCGATCGAACATCTCTGGGAAGAGTTGGAGCGACGTTGTGCCAACAAAAGAGCCAAGAATTGCAACGAGAAGTTTGCTCAACTGCTGTCTGAATGGAATCAGATCCCCATGTCTACCATCGACACTTTGCTCAATTCTATGCAGAGAAGATGCCAGGCAGTGATTGACGCCAGGGGCTTCGCAACCAAGTACTAGGTCCCGAATATTGTTTTTAACAATGTTTTGTGTTGATAAAAAAATTTTTTTGTTGAGCTATGATTTTTTTAATTGAAAAATAGCAAAAAAATTCGATTTTTTTCGAAAATTCGTTTTTCTCGAAAAAAATTATTATTCTTTGAGCTAGCAACTTGAAATTTTGCCAGAACACGTATGTCTCTCTCAGAAAACTATGAAAAATTTGAATCGATATCGCACTTCAAAAAATTTATCCCCAAAAACCAAAAACTTAATAGACTTTTTGAGCGGTACTGTACCAAAGATCAGTGGCCAGCGCCAAAGTCGCCGGATCTGTCGCAAAATACAAAATGAAGGATTTTATGGTGTTTGGAACAAAGGGAAGGAACGTTAGGAAGGCACACCAGAGTATAAAAATGTCGGAATTCTGTAAAATCAAAAAGTAATTTTTTTCAGAAATAAAAACTGACATTTTGCTTATTTGTCTGGTTGAAGACACGCAAGAAAACAGCAAAATACATCAGAACACAGAGAAAACAACAAGAAGAGCTGACGACCAGGTCTTGCAAAGCGTCTCTCTGAAAAAGGAGCTCATTTAAAAGTTTATCCAAAGTTTCGCCCTCACCTGCATAAATTCTGAATCTGATCGCATCAACAAAATCCCGGTTCCAGCACTAACAAAAGAGAAATTATGATTTCCGGTGTAGAATATTGGCACAACAATGAAAGACGACGCTACCCATTCGGCCAGGTATATCGAGACGATAAATTTGGTTGACCATAACTGGAAAAATTGAGAAAACTATCAGAAATCACTACAGTCTTTGCAATAACCAGAATTTCCCTGAAGATTTTCGAGAATAAGTCGAAAGTTTACCTTGTTATAAAGCCAGGGAACCGAAATAATCGAAAACCGATTGAAAGCTGAGGCGACGTAGGCAAAAAACATGGTGTTCTTCATCCAAGTCTGCAGAAAATACATGGTATGAGCTAGGAAACTGTTGGTTTCGGGCTTGAATAAAGGATACATTGCGAACTTTCTCGGACGAGAAATCAGTTCGATGAAAAGAAACATCAAGGAGTCGGTTATCATCTGAAAGGTTGGCTTAGTTTGAAAAAAACATTTTCTAAACTTACATGAAGTAGTAAAAGTTTGAAATAAGATGATTTGAAGTCCTGTGGGTTCTGATGAATTATTAATGCGCACAAAATATAAAGCAAAAACGAAATCCAGGCAAATGCCATGAAAATCAGGTGAGAGGAAGGCACAAACTCGAACCACATTTTTCTGAAACTTCGAAAATCAATTCGAAATACAGATTGACAAAAGACGTCATCGAAAAGTTACAAAATTAATGTATAGCTAGGGTCCGCAAGCCATTTCTTCAGAACGATTCAAAAAATATGTTTTTCACATTGTTCGATAGAGGAGACTGTCCATTTTCATAATCCGTTTAGTTTTTGAAAAAAGGTCCACTAAGAAAAAAGTTATGGCCAAAAAACGAGCGCGCGCGGCGTACAACTGGAGGCAAAATCTCACGGTTTACCCGCTGCCGCACGCTTTCTTTTAAAATGTTTTTGCGCATTTCTGAACCGTTTTCGAATCGGTTTTCTGTTCTGAGAGGTTGTCCGAACTGAGCTCAATGTTTTGGTATGATTCTTTTGTATAACTCTCATAAGAATTTTTTTGATAAAAATATCAAAAAAACTACTTAGAAAAAAAGGTCAGAAGGAATTTTTCAGCTTATTTTTTTCTTTTTTTCTAATCAGAAAAAAATTATTTATCATTCGATTTGGAAGTAAGAAAAAAATGAAAAAAATAATGTTATTTCGAAATAAAAACAGGAAAAATGTGTAATTTGACTCCAAAAAAACGGCTCCTGCAACATTTAAAATGGCGCATCGGTGTGTTTGACGCAAACACAGCTACGAATGCTTGCACGAATTCTTCCAAAATTTCAAAAAAATTGCCATTTTTTCGAG